ATATTCAAAATATAGTAACCATTTTATGGGTCAGAATGTCAAGTCAAGATGGGATGTTGTTGTTGAAGCTGACTGGGAAGAGAGAGCTGAGTGCCTGGCTAGAAAAGTGTTATCTTACAGCCAGCCATCAAAAATGAAAGGAAAAACAAACCTAGACATTAATACAGGCAGGCAAAGGCAGGCTGGAAGCAGAAAAGCAGATCTGAGTTCCACCTGACTAAACAGGACAACCTGTGGGTAAGACCAACCACAGAAAAGGTACAGCAACCAAAAAAGGCAAAGGAAATGAAGGGTAACACATTCCAAGCACAAAAAAGAGAGGAGGAGAGAGGAGAACTCTCTCAGGCTGAATGGCCAGGAGAGAAGAGACACCAGAGTGAGGTAGGAGACATTTCTAAGGAGAAAATAAAGGCTGCACTGAGCTCTGCTGATGTAAATCAGGGGGATTTATCAGCACTGGTTCTGGCTTTGTGTGAGGAGAGTTGGTAAAAGCTGGGAAAGAACAGTTTTGGTGGAATGTCAAAAGGTGAAGTGCATCTTGGAGACTCCAGGCAATTCTGCAGTGAGATGGGAGCTGGAGCAGGGCTGAGCAGCAGAAGCAAACAGGTTCTATTTCACTTAAACAGGTTCTATTTAATTTAAACAGGTTGTATTTCACTTACTTCTTGTGAGGCTACAGCACATTGAACCCAGGGGGAATAGTCAGGGAAAAAGGAACACAGAGGTCAGAGACTGGATAATGTGGGGTCACCAAAATGAGCTGAGGGTGGGAAGAAGGACAGAATTGAAAACTCCTTAGTCCCTGAAACACAGAAGGAAGTTGGAAAGGTCAGGTAAAAGTAAGGAAAAGGAGTCAAGATGAAGCCTCCATAATTATAATGGCTGTTTTCCTAATTCTTCTTTGCAGTATTTCCTGATAATTTCACTTGGTGTCAGGCTGTGCCTTGTACACTGACACTCTCCTGACTGGGCTGTGGCCTGAAGAACACAAAATTGAGTATTTGAAAAGCAAGAGCACTCAGTGAAGTGTCAGCTGCAGGCACCAAGTGATCTGCACCATTGTTCAGCTGTAATTAAACTGGAGGCACTTTATTTGCTCAGACACTACTGTTTAATTTTATCTGTTTGCTCCAGAAGGTGTTTTCCATTTTCCCATCTTTCTCCTGTGAGCAGACAATGCCTAACCAATTTCCAGGAAGCAGTCTTTTTTTATAATTTTTTTTTTTTTTAAGTGAAAGGCAGATGCTGAGAAGAAATTATTTAAAGTGTAAAGGTTTGCACAATCCCTGGAAGAGCCATTCCAGCCTGATGCCTTGGGACTGTTAAAAACTCTCTCCAAACAAAGGCTGCTGTGAGTGTAAATCTCATTATCATACAACAGGCCTGCCTGACCTGCCTTTGCTCCTCAGTGAAATGATTGAAATATAGACAGGGTCCAGCAGAAAAAGTAAATTTCCATTAGTCTGACAGGCCAGGATCTGAATCACTGCAAGTTTTGGGAAGGAAATTTCACTCCACCACAGCATCAGCCTGCACTGAGTGGAGCCATGCTGAGCCAACCCTTTGGTTTCCAAAAGCTGGAGGAATCCAGGCAGAACTTTGAGCTGGGAAAGGGACTGGAGATGTCAGGAGGGGGCCCTGATCAGGACTTCATTGCAGCAACCATTCTTTTATGAGACTTTAAGGTTTACTTCACACACAAATCCCAGCCCTGCAGCACATTTAGCAATTACTGGTTTTTCCAGGGTGGATTTCATCATTCCATTTCAGGCTAACATGGTTTTGACAAATAACAAGCCATTGCAAGGTTTCTAGGAGCTATAAAATGCCCTTTTCAATTGCCACTTGAGCCTGCACAGAACCCCAGGGCTGGTGGGAGCCCATATTAAACAAATGCCCTTTCCTTGCAGTACAGAAATTCCTACATTCAGGAACCCTAAACTACTGAAAAGGGAACATTAAGCAGCAAATACTCCCACACCAGGGAGCCCCATCCATCATGTCTGAAATCTGTCTTGCACAACCCACTCAGCAGAAGGGGAAGCTGTATCCATTTTTTACCAGGACCATGTAGTTCCCTTAAAAAGAAGGAGCAAGATCCTCTTTTGGAGGATGATTTGCATATCCTGGAGCTGGGGAATGGCATCCTGTTAACAGTCCTGAAGCACAGCCTTGCTCTCAGGAGTGTTTTCAGGAGCACCACCACAGACCAAGCAGATTTTGCAATGAGTTGTAAAGAGCATCTTTGGAACCAGGGAAATCCCAAAATGGATTGGGTTGGGAGGAATCTTAAATCTCATCCAGTGCCACTCCCTGCCACAGGCAGGGACACCTTCCACTACCCCAGGTTGCTCCAAGCCCCATCCAGCCTGGCCTTGGACACTTCTAGGAATCCAGGGGCAGCCACAGATTTCTCTGGAAATTCTATTCCAGGGCTTCCCCACCCTCAAAGGGAAGAATTTGTCCCCAGTATCCCATCTAACCCTGCCATGTGGCAATGGGAAGATGTTCCCCCTGTCCTGGCACTCCACCCCTTGTCCAAAGTCCATCTCCAGCTTTCCTGGAGTCCCCCTTCAGGTGCTGAAAGGTCCCTCCAGAGCCTTCTCAGGCTGAACAATCAGCCTGGATATGGACAATCACGAGATATTTCTTCTCCCTGAGCATGGATAGCTCTGAAATTAGGACTCCTGTGTGAATGCAATTAGATTTGTTAGGGGAGGAAAAAAAAAGGCCATTTCTATCCTTTTTCCAGATTTCTGCTGGACCTTTCCAAGTTAAAGGGAGTGCAATAGAAACCAGCTCACTTTTCCCAGGTTGGTGATGCCACATTCCCTACAGAGCATCCTCCTTCCCAGCAACTTTGGGAAGTGCAGGGAGAACTGGAATCCAGTCCCTTCAGAGGCTGACACAAGGGACAGGCTCTCACACAAAGGTTCAGCTCCACCTCAGAGTTTAGGTGTAAACCCAAAGCTTCAGTGGGATTTGAATAATCAGTGAGCCCCAGGTTGGCTTCCTGCACTCTGAACTCAGGACTGGTTTCATGCTGATGAATTGAAGTAAAGTTTCACTAGTCTTAGGTTTAATGGGATCCAATAAATATGTAAATTTCCCAAACAATTAAATATACATGCCAAGATGGAGCTGCAGCCAAGCATATTTTGTAATTAAAGCCCTCTCCTTGTCTCCAAGCAGTGGGCTGGGCAGGCTCCTCACAGAAATGGTGTGAAATGGTGGCAGTGGGTGGTGTGGGCTGGCTGAGGGATTTGTTATGTGGGTCCCAGTTCTGCACTTCATATTTGGCTCAACTAAAGGATGCTTCCTCCTTCTACACTCCAATGAAAAGTCACTCAATATTGCAGTTTCTAAAGGGCAGTAATGCCTGTTTGCAAAAAGCCACTGTCACCTTTGATCCAAGGACACATTTGTGCTGATTGGATTGTCAAAAAAATATTTTAAGCTCATGTCTGTCAGAATATGGGTCACCCTTCGTAATATGGGTACATTTGGATTTGATTTATGGGGTTAATAAATCATTAATAGATGTTGTGGGGATAAGTAATCCACATTTTAGATGGCTACAAGCAATCCATTAACCTGCTGGGCTCCTGCAGCCTGTAGGAATTAACCATTTATGGAAATTGTTGGAATATAAATAAGCCTTTTCATTGCTTTTTTACCATGACTGAAAACTGATCCTTAATGGCAAGGGTATTTCTAACAGCAGGTGAATTTGGGGAAGGAGAAAGATAACTTCTGGCTACTAACTCCTAGATTTTCTGGATCTTTTCCATGGTCCTGGGCACTAATTCAAACTGCTCTGCCTAAAACTTCCTCATATTTAAACTGGAGGTGACTGGTTTCTTCACACATGGCAGAGATCACTGTTTGTCTTGTGGGATGGGATTTTCTTGCAAAGGACAACTCACCTGAACAGTTTTTGCCTGCTAACAATCAAAGAATCATGGAATAGTTTGGGTTGGAAGGAACATTAAAGCTCATCCCACTCCAATCTTGACACCTTCCTCTATCCCAGGTTGCTCCAGCCTGGCCTTGGACACTCCCAGGGATCCAGGGGCAACCACAGCTTCTTTGGGAATTCCAGCCCAGCCTGTCCCCACCCTCCCAACCAGGAATTCCTTCCCAAGATCCTACCCTAATCTCCCCTTTCCCAGTGGGAAGCCATTCCCTGTGTCCTGTTCCTCCATGCCTTATCCCAAGTCTTTTTTCAGCTCTCCTGGAGTCTCTTTGGGCCCTGGAAGGGGCTCTGAGGTCTCTTCTCCAGGCTGAACAACTCTCTCAGCCAGCCAATGGGGTTTTTTTTTGTTCCCATTAGTTTATAGAGTGAAATTATCTCTCAAAAATTGTTCTTTCCTAGCTCTTCAGTTGACAGAACGTGCTTTACATGATGAAAATCAACTGTAAATTGCAGCCACAAGACATCTTAAGGACAAATACATTTAGTTCTGAGGCTGCACCTCCAGTCCTGAGGACACCTCTGTGTCCTTCACAACAAGAAGGACATTGAGAGGCTGGAGCGTGTCCAGGGAAGGGAACAGAGCTGGGGAAGGGGCTGGAGCACCAGGAGGGGCTGAGGGAGCTGGGAAAGGGGCTCAGCCTGGAGAAAAGGAGGCTCAGGGGGGACCTTGTGGCTCTGCACAACTCCTGACAGGAGGGGAGAGCCCGGGGGGGTTGGGCTGTGCTCCCAGGGAACAGAGACAGGATGAGAGGAAACAGTCTCTAGTAGCACCAGAGGAGGTTCAGGTTGGATATTGGGAACAACTCCCTCATGAAAAGGGAGGTGGAGGAGCCCCCACCCCTAGAAGTGGCACTCAAGGCCAACCACACCGGTGGCGCTGGCTGACAGCTCAACCGGATGACCTTAAAGACCTTTTCCAACCACAACAACTCTGCCATTCCACACCTTCCCAGAGGCTGCTGAGCTGGAAATTGGCTGTGTGAGCAGGAACCCCGCCCCGTTCCTGTGCCCTGCAGGGACTCACGTCGGGCATGATCTCGATCTTCTCGTAGCGGCGCTTGTAGGGCAGCGTGAGCACCTCGGCGCGGCGGTAGGACATGGCCGGGGGCTGGCAGTCGATCATCAGGTCCGTGCGGTGGGACTGCGTGGGAGGGGGCTGCGTGTACTGCTCGGGGCACACCACGTGCAGGGGCTGCAACACAGCAGGGTGGAATTCCCATCAGCATTGCTAGAAAATGCTCCAGGAGATGGAGATGTTTGCAGTGGTGACCCACCTGGAATTTATGTCTTATCGCCACTTTGATATCATATTTGCCACAAGGAGAGAAAAAACAAAAATATGAAATAGGGTTTTCTCCCAAATCCTTGCCAGATATACTGGAAGGAAATGGTGGAGACCATCCCAGTGTCAACATGTGGGGCTGCAGAAACCTTGGCCATCAGTAATCAAGGGTGCAAAAACAACTCCTGGAGTTTTGCAGCAATATGTTAAGAAAGCATAAAGAGGCTGGTTGCCACTGCAGGGTTTAAAGAAGCCAAAGAAAAAGCCAGTTCTGCAAACTGGAAGCCAAAGGAGAAAGCAAAGGAGAAGCCAGTTCTGCAAACTGGAAGCAGCGACCCTCCAGGAATTTATGTCTTATTGCCACTTTGATATCATACTTGCTACAAGGAGAGAAAAAATAAAAATATGAAATAGGTTTCTCTCCCAAATCCTTGCCAGACAAACTGGAAGGAAATGGTGGAGACCATCCCAATGTCAACACGTGGGGCTGCAGAAACCTTGGCTGTCAATAATCAAGGGTGCAAAAACAACTCCTGGAGTTTTGCAGCAATATGTTAAGAAAGCATAAAGAGGCTGGTTGCCACTGCAGGATTTAAGGAAGCCAGTGGTTCTGCAAGCTGCCCTGGAGACAGCACAACACATCAGCAGTAACACAAAGGAGATGTTTATGCAAAGCCAGGCAGTGGCAGCTCTATCAGTTTGCAGTGACAAGCCAGGTCGCAGAACAATGAGATAAAGAGATGCAGGCATTGTTAGGAGGTTTGGAAAAATGTGTATTTCAGAATTCAGCAAGACAGAACACATGGAAATACTCAGCCAGAAAAAAAATCTGGTTATTATTTTAATTATGTCATGAGTCAGAAAGCAAATTTACGTAGAAAGAAATGGGATGGGTCACTAAAGCACAAAGAGTTGAGGGGGAACAGCAGATACTACAAGAACCCTCTTTTTCTTAGACCTCTCCTAAAGCAGAGTTCAATGCTGTGTCTTCCTCATGGAAAAAAGGATCTGGGTGTTGTCTCCATTTTTGTTTAATGCAACATTTGCTCACAATTCATTTATTTAATTTCAGTTGTGTGAAGAAAAGTAAGAAAAGGCAACAGAAAATTCATTACCTGGACTTCTTTAAGTAATTTAGACACCTGAATAAAGTTGAGTCTTGTGTCAATGGGACAGTAAACACATTTCATTGCCAAGGGCTGATAGGGAGCCAGAGCATCCAGGTAAGAGAAATCAGGTTCTGGAAAGAGAAATGTTGAAAACACTCACAGCCCATTAACAACAAAAATGGCCCAATTCCTCTCTAATTCCAGTTTAGTCAGAGCTGTTGCTCAATGTTAATTCTGTTACAGATTTCTCTTCCCTTCCTCCTTCCCCCACCCATTATTTTCAATTAATTTGATGAAAATTACGCCCACAATTAGTCTTACCTTAATCAAGCAACAGAGCAATACTATTTCATTTGAACACATTATTGCATGATTTTTAGAACAAATTTAATCAAGACAAAACCATCATCTCTTATTTTTAATCAGATCCTGTAAAGGAAGACAAAATGTAGACATTTTGAGTCTTGTAAGGTGATTCAAATAGCAAGTTGGTTTTCACTATGACAAAAATGCAGCATAAAGATGATATCTTGATGTATAAATATATATATATTTATTCTTTTGAATCTAAGAGCCAGGTTTAGACTGGTGGGAAACCAAGGGTTCTTTTATTACTGGATTAGAGGTTTGCCAGGGAAAAGTCAGGCACTGAATGGGCTTTTACTCCCACACAGCAGAGAGTAATAAAATATTGAGAATACTACAGAAATAGATTTTTTTTTTTCTGAATGACAAATGTAGATCTCAGGTGACACAGTGTAGGACACAGGCAACCTCTTGATTCTGGGGGTCACCAACAAATGGTGGAAAAGATTATGACATCTCCATCCTCCATCTCCCTGATAATTGTGGGATAGGCGGGACAAAGGGAATGCTGGAAAAAAAGGAACTGGTATGAGTTTGATAAGTACAGAATGGAAAAAGAGAAGGGGATGCATGAAAGTCTCATCTGCTGGATTATGCTGAACCACAGGGCCCCAAAGGACACCAGGCAGAACAAGTGCAGTTCAAGCCTGGCTGGAACACAGCAGGAGGAATTCTCTGGGACCTGCTTTACTTGAAAGGATGAAATTAAAGGAAACTGAAATTCAAAGCCTCCAGTGCAGATTTAAAGAGACATCTAGGATGTTCTGACATGGCAGCAGAGCAGAGCACTGGGTGGGTTTCTCATGCAGAAAGCAAGAAAAAATCTCCTTCAAACCTTAGCAGAGGAAGTTCAGCACCAGTGTGACATCCAACAAAAAGACAAGTTAATTGCTCACCTAAAAATCTAAAAATCTCTAAATCTGCTGCTGGCTAAGCAGCACTGAGCACCACGTGGGGATATTTACCCTGAGAGAGCAGAACACGGCACCAGGCAACAATACAAATGTTTGGAACTGTCAAAGGGATAATTTCCCCAAGTTTAAAGCAATTGTCAGAGTAGCTGCCTGGGAACATTAAAGTGAGAAATATTAACAAAAAATGAGTGTTGTACAAGGACGTGTACATGAAGCCATGAATCCACAAACATTGAGTAAAATTACACTGGGCAAAAAGCCATGTTATTAAAAGCAGATGTGGTGGTGGCAATGAAACAAAGCCTAAAAATATCGATGTAAAAATGGCATTGATGTCAGTTAAGTTTAATAGCAAGGAACAGAAATGTAAAAATAGGAGTACTGAGAAAGTTGGTTGTTGAAAATGATCAGTTAGGGTTAAGTGACAAGGCATTTAAAAAGTCATTAGGGGAAAACAGAAAGATTAAGTCAGGCAGGGGTTCTCTGCTACAGATATGCCATGAAATTGTAAAAAAATGAGTTAAAAAAGTTACCAGAAGGGAGGTTTTCCATCCCATCTGGGGTTGTGGAGGACATAAGAGATTTGAGGCAGCACCTATTCAGCATTTCTCAATCAGCAGGTTCAGAGAATGTACAGACATGGAGTTCTGGTCTAGGAATTCTATATAAAATCCAGTCCAAATCCTCTCTGAACTCCTAATAAGGATAGGAGAGCCTTGGAAAAGGGAGAAATTCCAGGGAAGGAATCCTAACACAGGACTGGGGAGATTTAGAATGTTAAAAACACAACTTGAGCTGGGCTGACTGGGAACTCATGTGACACACAGGAGCTGCTGTTTTGAAACCACCCAAAATCCCAAAGTCACCTGTCTGGAGGCAGCAAGTGCTTGTCAAGGACACATATTGACTTTTCCTGACAGAATTACAGGTCTTTAGCTTTTCCCCCAAGACTCCTGATTTACTGCAGCGTGACACTGAGTTATAAAACCTTCCACTGTACAGCACTGACGTGCATGAGCTGGTTTTAACATCTCCCAGGGAGCTGGTTTTTAAAGGAGACTTCTTTATACTGTGTCTTCTCCTAGAATTTCTTTGTGGTTCAGTGGTATTCGATATTTTTAATCAATAATCTCCTCAATACGGCTCCAGCAGTGATGTCTGCAGGTGACACCAGCCAGCAGAGCAGCACCACAGTTCCCTCACAGCCAGGTCCTGGCTGCTGGCTGCTTTAATTTATATTCTTGTCATTGTTTTTTTACATTACAGATTGGAAAGGTGGAGACTGACTGGTTCCTGTGGACTGAACAAGCAGTGTTCATTAACAATGTTGGATGGTCTGGAGTTTAAAGGCTCTAATTACCAGAAACCACGAGTTTTTCACAGGAAAAGCTACAACATCATCTGCTCTCACACACTGCTCCAATGGACTGGGGTTCTTTGACATCCACAGGAGATTTTAGCTTAAAACAGAAAAGTAATTAAATAATGGAAATCAGTGGCATCAGTGGAGGTGCTTCAGATTTTCACTGGTACAGTGAAAGAACAGTAAGAATAGGAGAATTTAATCTGCTAAGAATTTCTATAGACATAGAATCATTTAGGCTGGGAAAAGAATCTCTAAGGTCATCAAGTCCAACTGCCAAACCCAACATTAAACCCTGTGTTTTGTTCCAGCTGAGACAACCATAAGGATATAAGCCTAGGACTAGTCAGTCATAAGGCAGTAGGACTTACAGATAGTCCATAAAAGCCATGGATAGACAGAAGTTAGGAAAAAAACCCACAAGTTTTGGAGTCACTGTGCACTCCAAGGTCACCCAACTAAAGCAGCTCTCAACTGGAGTTTCACTAAGTATCAACTGGGAATGAATCTCTAAGACCATGACCTGCTGCACCCCCAGGTTGTCAGGAGTGACATTTCCATGCCTTAACAACCTGCCAGGGCCAGGCTCTGACAGAAGTGCTCGATTGCCTCAGCTCACTGAAAGACTGGGATCTCACACAGAAAGGTCAATTGCCTCTCCTTACACAAGACAGAGAAGAAGAGTTCCTGCCATTAAAGGCCAGTTCCTGACACCCTGGGCAGCACATTCACAACGTGATTAATGCCACTGGTTCCCCAGGGATTCATGGAATACACACCCCAGCAAAGGCTCTGCAAACTATGGCTTAATTGAAGTCCTAACTGGAGTAGAATTCACTATTTTCAGACAATGCATATCATCCACCTTGCAATTTTACCCAATTATTTTAATTAGGACATGTCTCCTGAAGTGCCTCAAAGGTCAGGAGGGATGGGCCCTGCAGCAGCTGTACCTTTAGTGCTGTGGTACCTTGCATCATTCCCCAGCACAGAAACAGCCTGGATTTAAGTTCCCTGCAGGAACTCCCTTGTATCTCCCCTCTCATTGAATAGGGTTAATTATACACTAAAAATATCCCCAAATTGGCTTAACAGTATCATGATACTGTCACACTTTTTGGTGCCAATATTGTGAAAGGGACTTGCTTATCACTAGCCTCGAGTCTACAGTTAAAAAAAGAAAGAAGGAAATAACCCTTTCCCAGCCCTCTTTTCTTCAAGCTTTGTGCTTTCCAGCAGCTTTCCTATTCACTAAAAACTGGAGGAAAATAAACTTAACAGTAGGACTCCATTCCACCCTTGCTGTGGGAGTAGGTTTGATTTGGTCCTCAGGGCTCTTTTCCCCAGCTCTAATTACTTTGTCCAAAAATCCACACCTTTTTTACCTGGCTAAGTCATATAGAGCACACCTCCCATTATCTCAGAGCTCCTCAGACACAAAATCAGGAGTAAGGACCTAAAGGATTATTGTTTGCCTTCTCAGATCAGGACAATGCCCACTGCAGGACTCTGTCTGGGTGACACATCAGGTACAAATACACCTGCAAAGAACTTCAGCTCCAGGGAAGGCCTTGAAGGATTTTTAATCAGGGTCAGCACTAGAAGCAGATGGAGAGAAGTGGAAGAACTTAAAAGACCTGTTGAGCACTGAGAAAGGAAACAGCTCCCCTGGGGAATGAGCCAGAGCTGTACCTTCAGTTAAAAATGTGTCTGCCAGCCAAAAACCATCTGAACAAAGCTCAGCCCAAAGGCAGGAACAGCTCAGATCTCTATGCCAGGTCTGTGTGGGGTGCACACCTCTGGGACAGCAGAGAGGACAGAAACCTCTTCAGAAACACTGAAAAATGAAAAGGCAGGAGAAGGGATGAGGAAAAGTTTGTGGTTCCACTGGAATATGGAGAAGCAGTGTTTCTCCTTTCTGACCAGCATCCATTAGGTCTTGCCTGGGTTTAACTTGCAGCCAGCTGCTTTTAATTCAAAAATTAATTTCCTGTAGGCATTTTACTGCTGTGCATAACAAAGATTTTGCTCAGACGTGGCAGGAATGGACTCTGCATGGCAAAGGTTGACTCTGCAGGGCTACACTGAATTAAATGGCACAATAATTACATTTGTCCCTGCAGCCAGTCTTGGGGCCTTAATTTAGATAAGCTCCTACTGAAGTGGAAAAACTTCTGTCCCAGAACAAATGAGTAAAGCCCCAAGGATGTGGCCACACTTAACCAGAGTGCACAAACTGTTAATCTGATAATGATATCAGCATTTTACTTACCTGTGAATATAACAGTGTTCAAGCTGGATTTTCCCCACAGCTCCATGAAATGCACCACATCCCCAAATCTGAGAGAGGGATGCCCAGTGAACACAACACAGGGCTGCTTGAAGTCATTGCTGAAGTCTCCATGGATGCTGGGATAATGTTTCAATTTGTTTGTCTGAATGAGCTGAAAGAAAAACAAAAATCCAGACAGTGCAACTTTTCATGCCTCTGTGCTTGAGTGTGTTTATTTACATGAGATTATAAATGTTCTACAATTTATTCCTAACTCATCAGAGAGTCCTTTCCTGTATACCCCTTAGATTTTTTCCAACAAATTTAGTCATGACTGTCACAAATGTTATGAAAAGGAAGTCAGAGCATGGGGCCAGGGCCTCCAAGTCCCTGCTCTCACTTCTTTGGTACCAGCAGGATGGTGACTGGGAGGAAACTCTGCAAATACTCCCTGCTTCGACATCCCTGGAGTGAGCAGAATGCTCAGCTGCCAAATTCACAATAAGCTCCTTTTTCCTATTTGCCATGTCTGCAAAGAGCTCTGGGCTCATCTTTAACCTGCTTTTCTTGCATCACAGCAGTACCAGGCACTTTTGCCTTCAGCAGAATGTTGTTGAGCTTCCCTGGTCTAAAGGGTTCACACAAAGTCAAACCTGCTGAAAAAGAACAGACTGACTTTCCCTTCCTCAACTGTCTCTGAAACCAGCAATAAACATGAACTAAGAGCAATAAGATGTTTTGCAGACACAGTGCAATCAGCTCTGCAGGTGGAACAGATTTCGTTACTAAGATGGAGAAGTTTATTTATCAAGGCACTTTTCAAAGAGTTTTGCTTTATTTCTCCTGCCACTGTTTTCTAATCTGCAAAACAAGGTGCAACTTAAAAAGCAATTTAACAACCAGGCTGTGAAGCACTTTCATGCAATATTTTGCAAGTTTTTCCTTGGCAAGTAGATGCTTCCATCTCCAGCATGAAAATAACTGTAAATACAGTTTAAAAAGCAAGGAATTTAACACATGAAATCACAGACTGAACAGATGAGAGAAAAAACACAGAGATAAAGAGTGTGAGGGAAGGAAGGGGGCTTCCTTTGTCAGCCAGTTTTAAAAAAAGGTTTGGCTGTTCAACAAATCACAGAATGCTGGAATGGTTTGGGTTGGAAAGGAACCTTAAAGCTCATCCTGTTCCACCCCCTGCCATGGACAGGGACACCTTCCACAATCCCAGGTTGCTCCAAGCCCCATCCAACCTGGCCTTGGACACTGGGGAGGAACAGTCCCAGCTTCTCTGGGCAACCTGTGCCAGGGCTTTCACACCCTCACAGGGAAGGTTTTCTCCCTAATATCTCATCTAAACCTTCCTCACTTCAGCTTAAGGCCATTTCCCCATGTCCTGTGTTACTTTTTACCATGGCTGATCTAAGGTGCCTGCATGGAAATGAAGAGAAACTGGGAATTCTCAGCGACTTGTGCACCTTCACAAAGCAGAATTCAAGGTTATTACACAATTCTGTAGATGCACGTGGATCATTTTCACATGGATCCTTGAATCATGAAGGAAGTAGAAACTGGTCTACATTTTCTGCAGTTTACAAGTAAAAGCTAATTCCTATTTAATCTTCAAGAGGGAAATTGGAAAAAAACACCCAATAACTACTCTGGCAGTTGATAGGCACTGAATCTCAAAAACATTCCTGCAATTACACTGGTAAAGATTTCTGATTAACACATCTGGAGTGCAGGGTTTAGAATCTAAACTTAGCTTCAGTAATAAAAACTGCAGTTTAGCAGACAATGGGTAAAACAAATCTGAATCCATAAAATACTGACATTTAAATGAACTTATAGGAAATGGCCTCAAAAAGCTTTTTTCTGTTTGGTTTTTTTTTTTTTGAGGAAAGCCAAAAGTCTCAAAACTGAAATTGCAGAAGCACTTTCAACTGGATAAACTGAAAGAGGAGGATGATTTCTATTTCAGGCATTAAATGGGATATGGGACACTCCAGGGGAAAACTTTTCCAGGGACAGGCAGATAGGTCAGGGAAAGACATTTCTATAGCCATCATTGATCTAAGACACTCCTGAAAATCACAAACAGTTGTTCCAGCAGCTTCTTTCACAGGTTCCTTCAAATGGTATTTATTTGTATGTAGCATTCAGATTTTTGGGAAGATGTCAGGGCAGCAGTGGATGTGGAAAGCAGTGAGCAGCTCATTTCCCTGCCACACCTCCACAAACATTCACTGCTCAGCAACATAAAAGCTGCATTTTCTTCAAAGCCTTATGGAAGCGTCAAATCCCCTCCTATTGCTTTGTAAAGAGACACAGGAGCTCTAATCCAGTTTTCAGGAGCTCGTTGGTGATGATTCTTTTTTTATCCTTTCTTTTTATCTTGCCAGATCTTTTCTGCTAAGTCTGGTGAGGCTTCAGAGCTCAGCTCACAATCCCTGACTCTCACAGGTGGACAGAGCAGGGGTGAAAGGCTACAAAAACAAGTTTAGAGACATTCTACTCACTCCAGGGAGAAAGCAGCTGGTGGATTTTAGTGTCTACAGTAAAGTCCCTTCTAATCACCCCATCAAAAATATACGGAGCTGAACTTGCAAAACAGGTCCAAAAAAATTTCCCAGCTCATTAAGGAGACTGAGTTTGTAATGATTTGTGCAGGTTTTTTGTATCTCCAGATGAGATGGGCTGTGTAAACTTTGCTGTGCCATGGTCAGACCTCCAGCTGGGCCAAACCCAGTGCCTGGCATTGAGCCAGCCAGTATTTCCACAGTGGGCCTGGTTTCTGGAAAGCACAAGCAACATTCAGAACATCTTTTTACAGAAAGAACCACTATTGACTGAAAGCTTAAGAGATAGGGGCTGGTAAAGTACTGAATCAAGAGTGAGAGCTGCATTTTTCTGAAATCCCAAACGGTTCTGTGCTTCCCTTTAAAGCTGTAGACTTGATTTACAGGGTCAGCAACTGCTGCTATAAACAGGATAAATCTCCAGAGCCTTTGTGTTCCTTTTGTTGAAGTGAGCCAAAATACACTGATATTTACTCTGTGTGTGTGTGTGTGTGTGTGTGTGTGTGCTCTGTATCCAGAATTTGGAACAGATGTGGCTCCTATCAGGGAATGAAAGATGCATTTATTACTTCACCTTCCTCACTCTACCAGATCAACACTAACAGGGGCCTAATTTTATCACAGAATATCCAGAGTTGGAAGGGACCCCCATGGATCACTGAGCCCAACTCCTATATGATAATACTTATTATAAAACAAACCATAATACTCCATGATCACCTGCTTTCAGGTATTTATTTAAATGTGTTATGCAGGAACTGGTAAATGGAGGAGGGAATCAAAGATGAAGAAGACAAATGGTGGTTTTTAAGACCACAAAATCAATTACTCCCACCCTGGCTCTTTTTTGAGTTGGAAAAAAGGGTTTTTGTAGCCATTTCTCTTAGATCTTGCTAACAGAATCCTTAATAAGAGCACAGTAAATCCAAATTCTCCCTCCACTGGCAAATACTGATCAATACAAATTACCTCTCAAATTTTATTGTTGCAGACATTTAGAGGAGTCTGGATTCACTTATCTTAGAGCCTGAAATTGTCCATGTAAAAATCGAACGGAGAGGAACAATTCAGCTACAACAATTGAGCCATTCCTTTATAAACACAAAGCCTCCACCTCCACAAAAGGGATGGGGCAGAGTGTACAATCCATAGATCCTGTTAAAATGATGAAGGAGACCCCCTAATTGCTCATCTGAGGCTGTGCTGGGATGGGATATTCCCATGTGGAATTTGGTAAGACACCACACATTGGTTCTGGGATACCAGAATAACAAATCTAAGCTAAACAAATTAGTGGTTTGTGCTCCACAGTATTTCAGCAAGGCACTGAAGAGCTTCAATCTGAGCCTGTTTAGACAGTTGATCCTTGGATACAATGGATACAAGGGCTTGGAAGTGAAAGCCACCCCCTACCTTGCCAGCTGTGTTGACAAATATTTGGGATCTCCAGTTTTTGACTTTGCAGTCAGAGCAGCTCTTCCCTCAGAAATGCCTTTAAAGAAGCTCTTTTAGTTAGTGCACCACTAAAAGGCTGCAGGAGAGACTTCAACAAGAACCTGGACACTCCATTTTTATTAACTTTAGCATGAACTGATGTTCAAATTCATCCCTACAAACCTGAAGCCCTTCAGCCCACATTCCTTGCTCCTAAAAGAGGGAAAGTATTCCCTATTCACTCAGACTGGATGTTAGGAAGCAAAATGCCACCACAAGAACTGTACCAGGCCTGTGTAGGAGGACATAAGATGAACATCTACTGCTCCATTAAAGTGGAATTAAACAAGGAGGGAGAAATGTTTTAGGTTCTCTGCAGAGCTGAACATGTGTCTGGCTTTATTCAGCGGAGCAGAACAAGGAATGAGTTCAAAACATGCAACATAAATCATAAAACAAAAATTTCCATGCAGAGAGAATGCAAAGGCTTCAAACAACTGAGTGTAGAGAGTGAAGAGAAATAAAAATAGTAATTGTAGAGACAATGAAGATGCTTTTATTTACCCTCTTGTGACAATAATAAAGGCATAGTTAAGTGAAATGCCAAATACAATCACAGCTGATTAAAGAAAGGAATTATTCTGTTCTATTACACATCAGGCACTGTTGGAACTCTGCTGCAAGGGACAACATCGAGGATTTGGGGGATTTTTTGCCTTCTTTGTTTTTAAATCTCGCTGTTTATACAACTAACAGGAACATCACATTTCAGGACGAGCAGCATGCTGGGCTGGGCTTGTTCTGTGGATAATTAGAAGCTTATTTCCTGGCCTGTCCCTCTCTGATGTATCATGCCAGGCATGTTATTAATGCTTCCTAAGAAGTAAGAGGCATGTCTGAGTAATTCCCTATTTTCCTCCAACAACTGAGCAGTTAAGCACATCTTTTCATGATGGGCAATTTTAGCACAGGTTACATTGCACAAGCCTAGCATTACTTTGAAAAAAGCCAAGCAATTCTCCACTAACAACCTCTCCGACAGAAACCATCATTCACTGTCTGCTTCTGATACTCATTAAAAATCCCCTGAAGTGCCAGTAAGCAAAGCTCCTGCCTGGGGGGTGGGGTGGGTTGTAGAGACCCAGGATTGTGCTGGGAAGAGATTTTCTGGATGTTTCACACTGTGTGAATGAAATACAGTGTCAGGTGTGAGGTTTTTGAGATTTAACAAGGGACACAATGCATGTGCTGAGCACTGGGGCCCTGGCATGGACGTCCCGTGAGATGTTCCATCCTGCACCTGGAACAGACACATTCCTCCCTCTGTACAGGGAAGATGAGCTGGGATCCACTGCTGGGAGGCCTTTTCTACATAATTACCCTGATCTACACATGAAGCACAGAGCAGTTCTTGCAAAACTGTTCCAATAATTTAGCAAAATCTCACAATCAACAGGCCCCCAGAGAATGTAAAACGTCCCAGGAATTAAGAGGACAGAGTTATCACTCTATAAACACAAAGACCCATTGTATAAGATGGGTTAATTAAGCCAGTCTTTTGACAGCTGCATGTTTGGCTTCTCATTTTTGGATGGGTTTTCACTTAAATCTGCCAGTTCCAGTGAATATTGTAAATCAGAATATGGTCTGTCAGTGAATCCAATGACACTGTGGATCAACAAGGACATCCCAGAAAGCAGGGATGGAGGGCAAGACAGAAAGCACAGCCACAGCAAGGCTGCAGAGCCTCCTACTCAGAGAATTTGGAATTGATTTATCAGTGGGAATGAATTTTTTGGTTATAAAATAGGTGGTGAACAGGTGGCTTGCCCTGCAGTCCACATTATTCTTGGTAACAGATTATACATAATTCACTGCACATCCTGCTTGCAACACATTCAAGCATCTGGAAAGAGTGAGGGCTCCTGGTCAGATCCTACTTCAACAATGCCTTTGAAGCACCTACAGATGATAGATATGATAGGTAATGGCAATTTCCAGAACAAGTCCCTGGATGAGATATCTCAGAGGAAAAAAATCCACCCAGGGTCTGTAAAAGCATTGAATTTCTGGGCTCTTAAACCTGCCATGGCCACTCTGCACATCTCATCAAACAGTCTGGACCACAGCAACTGAAAGAGCCAAGTTTCTGCATGTTCCAAGTGGTTCAGTGGCTCACAGGAGTAGGATTTAGCTAAGAGTCTCAGTCCTGTTTCTTCCTTTCCCAGCCTGCCTCTTGTTTACTTCAGTGGGAAAGCCACCTGTTCCTAGGGGAGAATTTCTTGTCCTGCTATGTGAGGTGACTCTGAAGGCATCCGTTATATTTAATGTCTACTTGGCTAAAGCTTCTCTCAAACTATTATTTTGCTGCAGAGAAATTCTCCAAATTTAGGACCCTCATTCCTCTTTGCTTCATTACAATGCTCAAGTAATTTCATTTAAAATTGCTGTGGACAAGCACTCAGTGCTGCAAACTTTAAATTTTGATATAAAAATATCTCTTTCAAGACATCATTCCTCCTGCAGCAGACATGATGCCTGCTTCAGTGAGGGAGGAAGGAGCTGGCATGACTAAGCTGTCTCTGATAACAAGCTCTTAGTTTCACAGACTTGGAAATAAACTGCTTGGACAAAGGGAATGCTCGTGGTTGCAGCTGATAAGAGCAAACATCCCACACCAGATCTCCTTCTGTGGGAGAAGGAGTGAACCAGGCCAGCCTGTGCAAGTGATAGGCTGGAATAAACAGGGTAAATTTGGAGTTTAGGGAACACCATCACTCATTCCTCCCCCATGCTCCCAAATTCATCACAGAAAGCAAAGGAAAAAAAATGGTTTTCTAGAAAATTAAACAAAACTTAAATAGCTATAGAAGGGTTCATCAGAAAAATGACAACTATACTGTGTGGACTGTGATCCAGAAAGTGAAACAAGACCATGGCAACTCACCTCAGCGTGGGGAAAAGGAGGTTCTGGAAGATACACCTTTGTTTGTTTGTTATGACACAACCTTTAAAAGAAAAGGAAAGCAGCCAGTTAGAGGTGCAGCACATCCTGCAGCATCTGCTGCCATCTACTGTTGGAGAAAACTGGTTTGGATCTGAGGCACCAGGTGCAAAATCACCAATTAGTCCTGTTGCTGCCAGAGTTTCTGGTTGGAGGATCCACACCTACAGGATACAACACCAGGGTCACACAGAGACAGTGCAAGGCAGCTGAAGGTAATTCTGTACACACTGGAACAGAGCTCCTCTGCTGTTCAAGACAAATCTGTAACTCAGCATCCACAATGGCTCCTCATCCAGATCTCAGCAGCTTTTGCAAAGCCAAATCATCTGTCAACAGAAAAATCCCACTTGCCTCATCCCACTTCTCAGCAGCGACTTGGTCCTTTTGATCATTCTAATCCAATTCCCCTGTGCATTTTATTATTGGTAAATTGCCTCTCCCCACGGCCCAAGGCTCACTGTGACCTGGCATTTTCCATCAATCACTTATCTTTAAAACAGATATTGAGAGCTGTTGATGAGCTCTACCCAGACTCCTGATTCATCCTATTACAGCAGCTAAAAAAAGCTGTTTGTCAGAGGTCTGGGTGACGTGACAATGATCTGCAGTGACACTGTCCTGGTGGCTTTTCTGGGAAACACTGCCTGGCTCATACTTGCACTTTATTAAAAAGAAATGAGCCTGGGTCAAACTAATTTTGATAAAGTCTAAGGGATACTAAGAGCAAGGCATTTCCTTTAGCTGAGTAAGGGGTAGAATTAAAAGCTGGAATCCCTGAATATCAACCACAGTTCTGACCCCAAACCTCTATTTTACAGATGTTCAACCTTTGCATCCATTTCCGTGTAAATTCACCAGATTTCAATCATCTTTACAATTCTCCTGAGGGATCAATTCCCACAAGATTTCCAGGATCTGTCTTTTCTTTCCTGAACTCCAAAATCTGGAGAGGAAGAAGAGAAGAGCTAACTTACTGTATTTAATATTCTAGAGCATGTCTCCATTGGTAAGAATTTGGGAAGAGTTCCAAGTGGTTGGGTTCTGCTTTCTAGGGCTCAGAATCAAAGAATGGTTGAGGTTGGGAGGGACCTCCTGAGATCACCAAGTCCAAGTCCTGCTCAAGCACTCTCAGCAGAGCAGATCATCCAGGACTGTTTCCAGCTCGATTCTCCTGAGATCACCAAGTCCAAGCCCTGCTCAAGCCCTGCTCTCAGCAGAGCAGATCATCCAGGACTGTTTCCAGCTCGATTTTGATGTCTCCATAGCAAAGTCTCCATAACCTCCCTGCACAGAGGCTGCAGTGTTTCACAGAATCATGAAATGGTTCAGGTTGGAAGGGATCTGAAAGACCACCCAGTTCCAACCCCCTACCATGGACTGGGACACCTTCCACCATCCCAGGTTGCTCCAAGCCCCATCCAACCTGGCCTTGGACTCTTCCAGGAGAGGAGCAGTCCCAGCTTCTCTGGGCAACCTGTGCAAGGGCTCATCATCTTCAGAGGGAACAATTTCTTCCCAATATCCCATCTAATCCTGCCCTCTGGCAGTTTAAATCCCTTACCCTGATGGAATTTCACGTGTTTTAATTTGTTCTGTCAGTGGGCCCTGCTGAAGAGACTGAGCCCTCACCCTCATTACTTCCTATCAGGTGTTTCTACACAATAAGATCCCCCTGAGCCTTCTGCTCTCCAGGCTGGAGAGCCCCAGCTCCTTCAGCCTCCCCTCATCTCCATGGCCTCATTCCAGAAATCCCACATCCTTCTGGTACTGGGGAGACCAGAACCACACAGAACACTGTCCATGTGGCCTCAGCAGGGCTGAGCAGAGCAGGATCTCCTCTCCTGACCTGCTGGCTCTGCTCTGCCTCATGCAGCCCAGGACACTCTTGGCCTTTTCTTGCCATGGCTCAGCAAAACTAAGCCTGAAAACTATTTTGTTTAGCCAGGGACATCATGGTAGAATTTGGGAGGCTAAGACTTGCAAGCAGGCACAGCTAAAACTCACTCAAGTCAGGAACATAATTTTACTCATTAGGGTAAGCACCAAAAAGCAGAGATTGAGTTTGTACATTCTATAGGAAATGATCCTTCCCTAATTATAGAATATATTCTTACACACACACACCCTCCCTGGTGACTCCAGGAACGTGTTCACAATCCTAACCAGGATTATTTTAGACTCTGTCAGGCAGAGATAACCTGTACCTGCCTCTTCCCACAGCTGAGGGTGCTGCCCTGGCACACCTACCACTCAGCAAAGATCTGGGAGAACTCCAGGGAGCTGTTGGCAACAGGTGAGATGAAATAAAAGGGGACATTGGAGAGTCCTGCAGAGTCAATGTACTGATAGAGGCACTCCAGCAGGTCGTAGATCACTCCAGAGGGGTAACAGGGAACCAGGACATTGCCTCCATTCCGGACAGTCATCGCTAGGGGAGAGACAACGAGAGAAATCAATTCACTGCCTTTGAATTTAAACTTCTAATAAATTCCTTTCATCCAAATTTATACAAAAAGCACCTTTTGCATGAATTAGCACAACACATTACGCACGAGTTGGGAAGAAAACCTCTGATCATTAAATAAATTTATTTCCTGCCTTCTCCAGGCTCCGTGAAGTGATTCTACTCCTTTAGCTGGGGGCACATGACAGCCTGAGCACAGGGAAAACTGACAGGAGAGGGCAGCCGTGCACTGGCACAGGAGGATAAAGGAGTCACCATCAAAATAAACCCTGCTCCACCTCTCAGCTGCCTCCAGAGGGGAAGGACAACAGCTCCCAGGTCTCAGCCAAAAGCAGTGCACATGGTGAGCTGTTCCATGCTTGGATTTCAGAGGAAAAGCCGAAGGTGTGGTTATTTCAAACAGCCCTCAGAGCCAGAAATGAGTGATGGAATGTTTGTCCTTTTTAAAAACTCTAAATATTTCTGTCCTTTCTGTATAACAAGAACAATTTAAAACTTGCAGACAGCATGAGACTAGATAAAAATGAGGAGAAGAAAAGGAAATACAGGTTTACTCTGTAATTGAGACACATCTGAGCACAACAGCAAAAGCAAGCAGAGCAAACATCGTGTTGTTTTTGGCAGAATGAATTACAAAAATACTGCACCTTCTGGGAAAGCAGGAATACTTTGTTCAGCTCAGTGAACAATTTCACCTGTGGTTGTGGGGTAAAACCATCCACTGCTGTTAACTGCAGTGCAGCAGCAATAATAGCATGCACCAAACACTCCACAGAAGGCTGTGGAAGAGCCTGAAAATACAAATATTGAATGCCTCCAAATCACTTTCCTGACCTCAATTTCTTGCTGAGCTTTGCTGGAGTATGGATTTAGCACTTTAAGGGTCTTTTTGCCCCTGGTGGGGCAGAATCAAGGAATGTTTAAGTTTCATGGAGTTCAGAGGGATGCACAGCCCAGTAGGATTTTTCACATGCATTTGTGGTTGTTTTACTCCTTGTAGCAGTCAGTGCCACTGACACTGTGCTATCAACAACTGCTGATCAAAGGCCCCTTGTTTATCACTTATAATAGAACTGCAGGGTCATTTATTCATTTATATATAAATTTTATATATATATATATATATGTATGTGTGTGTGTGTATATGTATATATATGTATTTATAATACAACTGCAGTGGATTTATTTCTCCAGGCCATACACAAACTGTACCAAATCTAAACTATCCCAGCTGTAAACAGGATGTGAAGAGAGCAATGAGGAGGTTGAGAACAACATTTTCAAAGCCATCTGGAGGTGGAAGTTGAGGCTCTAGCTCCTGGACCTGAATTTCCACAGAGACATCACACACACAAAAATTCTGCAGAGGAAAGTACCTACACCCACTGCAGCAGGAATGGTGTACAGCCAGGGATGCAGAATGGAGGTTAAAGAATGTGTCAGGCCACAGAAAACGTGAGTTCCAGTCCTTTGTGGTGCTTTGACCCTGGCTGGAGGCTGGGTGCCCACCAAAGCTGCTCTATTACTCAGCTGGGCAGGGGAGAAAGTGTAACAAAAGGCTTGTGAGGAAAGTTAAAACCAGGGAGAGATCAATGACTAATAACCATCAAGGACAAAATGGACTTGACTCGTGGAAATCAGTTTAATTTATTTCACCTCTCTCCACAGGGTACAGGCCTGGCCAGGACCCTGTTCCAGTGTGGGGTCACAGCTCCTTCAGGCATCCCCTGCTCCAGTGTGGGGTCTCCAGACAGATTTCTGCACCCCTGTGGGCCCCCATGAGCTGCAGGGCCACAGCTGCCTCTCCTTGGGCTGCACCCTGGGCTGGGAATCTCAGCTTTGGTACCTGGAGCAGCTCCTGCCTCTTCTTCCTCACTGCCCTGGGGGTCTGCAGGGCTGTTCCTCACTTACCCTCACTCTCCTCTTCCCTGGCTGCAACTGCTCCTGCCAGTAACTTCCTTCCCCCTCTTCACTCTGATATCCCACAAGTGCTGCCACCTCTGATGGGCCAGCTGTGGGTCCATCCTGGAGCCATTCTGGAAACACCTCACAGAAACCAGCCCTGTAGCCCCACACTACCAAAACCTGGCCACGCCAAACCCAATAGAGCCTGAATTCCCAGCTCTCCCTTCTCCACAGCCACTGGTTCCCTGGAAACCTCAAACTCTTCTGCTGAAAACAAGCATAAGTTCAAGATTCCTGGGGCCACAGAGGAAATAACAGAGGGTAAAGTCTTGGAGGAGATGTCAGCTTGAGTTTCTGATCCCCAGCAAAACTGCAAAGCTAGTGAGCAATAATAAAGTCACAATCACAGGAGTGGAGAATGATTCCAGCCAGGTGCCCACCAGGCCAGGGATCCACAAAGGGATAAGAATCACCTCCCAGCTTCTGCAAAACAGGGGTGAAAACCTTTCCAAGAATATTGCTTTCCACACAAGCAGCAGGTCCAGTCTGGTCCTCTGCAGCACTAAAACAACTTTTCAGAGTTGTCAGTAAGAGGACACATCTATCTGAAAGTTGTTTAAAGCCCAATTTATCTTGGTGACTGATGGATGCTCTCTCCTGATAAAAGTTGTATAATAATCTTGGCATTTCAAATTTAGTCTCCTTCAGCAGCTCCATAACAAGTTGTTCAATTTACAACTCACAAAGAGATCCTTGCTTTCCCAACAGCTGCTGCCACAAGGTCGAGTTGGCACCTAAAAAGCAAACTGTGCTCTTTTCTGCTCTCTATAAACACACACAGCCTCACACTCACACAAAATATCACCAACTGTCCCCACAGACAGACTGGCAGCTTTGCTGCTGGTGCCCAAGGCAATGTGGAAATAAAACTGCTCTCCTTGAGCTGCAGAGTGCTGGTGCTGCAGAGCTGAGCAGGGAAAAAAAGGGGCTTGGGCTAAACTGAGAGGAAACTGGAGGTGGGACAGAGTGTGGGGAGGAAATTGTGTGTGCCTTGGGAATCCTGGGAATCAGCTCCACGTGCTGGGATGAAAACAGAGATTGAGGTGGAATTTTCACACTTCCATTTCTGTGCCTCACATCCCTCCTTCACAAGCATGCTGGAATCTCCTCACACTCACTTTTGGTGAATTTTGGTCTGCTTTAGAGTTTCTACCTTAAGTATTCTGAGCTGCTTGTGCACTCCCTTGAACATTATGGAAGTGAGAAAAGTCAGATGAAAACTACTGTGCTCAGCCTGCCTACTTAATTGCTTTTCCCAGTAACCCATTGATTGTGGACTTTTTTACCTATTTGAAAGAAAACTGATTTTCTGTTTTCCTGATGTTCGGTAGATAAATATAGCTGGTGTCATGTAAAAGAGAGCCCTAATCTGTATTAATATAGAAATATTTAATTTCTTCAGATTGCTGGTTTTTGGCAAGTACCACTCAAATTCCAGATTCTTACAATGGCATTATTTTAAGCATCTATCTTCTTTTGGTCTTTAATGATTTTCTCATTTCTCTGAGTTTGTCTCATTCAAGGCAGAAACTGCAAACCCCTGAAAATAGTTCAGAGTGTTTCTGTAAACCAGAACAAGTTGTGGAGACAAACAGCCACCTGCACTGACACATGTAACATGTTTATTTATACACAGTCAACTTCTGGATTCTGCTTTGGCCCAACTACAGCTCTAAGAGTTTAATTTGTAAATGTATTTTAATTAACAGTCTCACTCTTGTTTACTCAGTGTTATAGGAGGGGATTGGGCCACTGTTTGTCAGAGGGACAGTGACCCCCATGAAGGTCCAGGAGGGACAGAGAAGGGCAGCACATCTGGATTTACCAAAACAAGGTCATCAGAGCTGATCTGTGGCAGCTCACGGGGTAACAAAATTCACAGTGTTTAAAAACAATGAAAAGACAGGTGAGATATATACACATGTAAAAACACACATTTAGGAAAGGAAGTCACAGAGCTTCAAGGGGAGGTTAAAACCACTGGGCATCATTAATTACAAAAACACACCTAATTCAGGAATTCCTGAAAAAAATACTTAAAGATCATGATAGCAAAGTATTCCAGAATCCCACTCTGCTCTCCTGCTGTTCTTCAGGCATCTGCACACAGTCCCTGTTGGAGCCAGGATGCTGGCAGAGAGGATCTTCAGTAAAACCCATAATTATCATTCTTATAAAGTGCCAAAATGTGCTCTATTAACAGATATTTAGGATCATTGAGTGGGTTGGGTTGGAAGGGACCTTAGGGATCATCCAGTTCCAACCCCCTGCCATGGACAGGGTCCCATTTCACCAGACCAGGAATTTAGTCTGATTTAATTTTCTCATGTCTTTGGTAACCTTTGTCAGGATCCTTCTGTCACGAGCTTTTTAGTTTTATTTGTAAAATGTAGTGAATTTAAAATAAAGGGAACAGGGAACATAGAGGAGGACAGGCATGGGAAAGTGGTTTGATGAAAGAAGGAAGAGAGCACAGAGGAACAGAGCAGGGGGAAGGGGAGAAAAGGAGAGAACAGCACTGGATGTGACATTCCAAACAGGCTGGAAAATGCTGCCATTCACACTGATATCACAGCTTTGCAATTATCAGCTTTTCCAGCTGTGAAAGCGTCTGATTAGGTTTTATATATCTGGGGGTCTATAAATATATCTTGACTTTTTTTTTTTTTTAAACAGAGATTGTGCTGTTTGCTTTTGATATATTTAAAAGTCAGGTGTAAGAAGGGAAGCAGATGTGCTTGTTTTCAAAACTGAAAGTCATAAAAAAGCATATAAAGATTTTACTCTGGCTGATACACAGGAAGGAAATAGTAATATTTCAGCTGGGAACAATATCCACATAGCCTGTTGGCAGCCAAGTGACATACTTAGCAAACCAGGAGCAGCAGATGATTAAATCTCATTATACCTGTTCCATTCCAAAACATTTTAGGTACAACTTGTGTCTCTCCAAGCACTTACTGTATTAATGACACCAAGAGCACATCGTAAAATCTAAACAGGTAGTTTTATGCCAGGAGCTATAGCTGGACAACTTATTCAATTCCAGGAATCTCAAAATTATTTCCCACCCAAAGCCATGAATAAGATGATAAAACAGGCAGGAGATTTCTCTCAGTGACCTACCCAGGTTGCTGCAGAACTCTCCCACCATTCCATCAGGGTTGGCAGTGGGGATCTGGGTCAGCCCTGTCAGGATGAGAACGTCGCTGTTTTTAAGAGAAGCCTGGTCCATGGGCTGGAACAGAGCACAGGGAAATAAAATCAGGAATGGGAGAGTTTCTCCAGGCAGGACATGATGGATACAGCCACCAAACATTTTACACTTCACACTCCTCCATCTGTGGAAAACTCACTTGTTTTATACTGGTATTTTATTAAAGCAGAATGAAAATGCAAATCCATTTCTCTGCATTAGCAAACAGAGATTAGATATTCAGAAACTAGACATTAGTGTGACACTAAATACATATTCTTGACACTGAAAATGTAGCATGATTCAATCTTGATAAGGTAAAATCCAATTCTCTGTCTGCAGATGGTGAAAAGGTAACTTTGAGCCTCACTCTGGTTTGGGATGCCCTTCCCACAGCTACTGATTAAGCAAAAGTGGGCAACTGCTGGCAGCTGTGTGGTATTTTATGGTTATTTACTCTCAATAAACAACTTTCTGCAGTCTCACCAACCAGGAAAGATTTTTGCCAGCAGAGAAAGATGAAGAGATTTCCTGTGCTGAACCTCCAAGACCACTGTAAGGTCAATTCCCCTGTTCACAGCTCTCCAGAGCCATTCTGAAGCAGTTGAGAAGGACCCTGCTCTTTTAAACATGCAGGGGAATTTAATATCAACTCTGTCAGGAGTTTAAACTGTGCACCCCCTTGTAGGATCAGACCTGACACGTGAGATTTATCACAATCTTTGACTCTCTCCAGTGTGTCCATGAAAATGAAATGCCAATAATGCAATAAAAAGTAATATGGAATCTGCCTGTGATAATGTACATAATGATTATGGTATATTAGATCCACATAATTTCAGATGCCATTGCACTGAGAGGACCTGCATTGATTTTTGTGGGTTAATGTAAAGAATATGTCTTAAAAGGCTTTTAGTGACATGTCTGAACCTGTGCTGTCAACTCCTGTTCTCCACTTCTGTGGCAATGGTGTCAATCCAGCCTCAGGAGAGGGGGAGACAAAATTTCAATGGAAACCATCTGCCAGAAGAACAGGGAACAGTCAGTAGTGCCAGGCCTAAATCCCAATTCACTGGAAAAGCAGCTCTGGATATGTTCAAAGTATATCCTATTTTAAAACTAAATGCAGTGACTTTTTTCACACCCCACTAAAAAAAATGGGCATTTCATTATGAACTTCTCATCATGATTCTATGGAGAACCAGGACAGACAAACAAGTTTTCACTCCCTGAGAAAGAAATGATTTGCTGCTCACAGTTTTGACTCTGTGCCACTCGAGATATTGTTATCATTACATATTGTCTGTCAAACATCAAAGAGGTGATGAAGAGCTGGTTGGAAGCTCCCAAAACACACACACAGAAACACCAGATTGTAGCAGCCTGTGCTGGTGCTCACAGGGATTAACCCCAGGACAAAAACTATCCTGTCCTCAAAAAGCATCTGGAAGCAAATGCAAGACAATGATGATATGGGGTAATATCTGTGATGTGATAAATAACAAGGAAAATACAAACTGAATGTGATTTTAACCATCTGTTAAACTATTCCGTCTAAAGATGTGAACAGTTCACTCACACCATTCTCTGTCACTGGGACTTAATTTCCTTAAAAACAGAAATTTTACCAGAAGCTTCCAGAGAAATGCTCACCTTTGGAAAATGATGAAAAGTCTGACCTGATAAAGTGAATCCCTTTTCATGTCAGTGAGGAGAAAATATTTTCAGTTACCAAATTACTTCGTACAGGGTAAAGTTTCTCCTCACAGAAATACTGCACTCACACATTGTCAAATACTGCTGCTCCTTCTCTAGGAGGGGATGAGAGCACAGCCCAGGATGGAATGAGGCTGATGAGAAACAGGGATTTAGAGGCTCTGATACATTTTGTGCACCTAAGGATGGCCATACTATTAAGGATCATTTATCTACTGTAGTTTCCCAGCTGAGAACAAGCTTTTAAGTGAGGGATGCTCAGAAGCAAAGCTCTCCAGCAGACACCCACCTTGGGGGAAATCACTTAGTGATCAAAAACCTGACACATCTTCTAAATTATTTTTAAATACCTCCTGCAATAATGCTTTTAACTATTTTGACAACTTCTGAAGCGCACGGCACTGCAAACTTCAAGCCTTTCTTTGCAGTAAGAATTTATGGATCTAGAGAGAATTAATTTACTGGAAATTACATCTACAGCACTATAAAGACTTTGCCCTTAGCAGAGCAGGGTGGAAAAGTTGGCAGCCACTGAGCTATCATTCCTCCTAAGGAAGGATGTTTCAGAAGTGATATAAAGCAGTCTGTGAGCTGTCTGTGAAGATTCTTCATTCAAATATGGATTTTTTTAAAAAGTCACTAATGTTCTTTTGTTTAACTTTGTTGAAAATTTCCTCTTTAGAGTGAAAGACAATTCCACAGTTTTAAGTGAACATCAAATCACGAATAATAAAGAATTTTAGTTATCTTTCCCTCATAACTGTTGATACCTGTCATTTGTCAGGGTATGTCTTATCAATGCCCATTAAAACCACGCACGGATAACACAGTTACCTTAGAGTGGCCTCTACCCTAAACCTGATCCCAGCTGGAATAACCCTTTTTTTTGGAGCAAAAGTTCCTCCTAAAGACTAAGAAAAGTCAGGGGCTGTACCTGAGGGTGTGTTGTAAGCAGAGAAGATCCTGAAACATAAGAAACCTTTTCATAGTGTGACTGGATAATCCAATTGGAACTCCCAAGAGCGTAGCCCGAGCTCAGAGGGGTGACCTGCACAGCACCAAACAGCTCCTGAAACACACAGTGAGAGACATTACCTTGAAAGAGCCTCAGAAAAAAATCAGGACAGGTCATTTTGTCATCAGTAATAGGAATTTCAAAAGCAGTTCTGCTGCTCAAAGCCTTTGTGAAGCTGTTCTGCTGACAATTACATCTGCTGGTTTTACCCACCCATGTCTAGCAGGACACATGCTCTGAGAAAAGCTTTGCCTGAGGCAGGACCTCCATAAAGTCTCTCTTCCATGTGAATTTTATGGCATCTGAGTTCACAATGAACAATACCTCAAAAATCAACCAGGGTCTTGATCCTCTGCCTGCCTCTGCTGTATTGAAGAAGTTTGTGGGAGCTTTGCATCTTTGAAGACTCTATTCTCCTTCAGTGAAATATAACTGGTATTGACCAGCAGGAGAGAAGGAAGGACAAGTACTTCCATACTGATACAACTCTGCTTGGGTTGCAAATTTTACTGTGAAAAACAAATTTAACCTCAAACTCACTAGCTTTCTAACTTTATTTCTTTTCAAATGCTACCTGCTAGTGATTTAGCAACAACATCCTGCAAACTCAATCCACATTTTAGTTTCAGTGTAAGCAACTTGACAGTTGCCTCCTTTCCAGGTGTCATTAGGAATTGTATTCCTTCATCTGTACCCAGGAATGTGGAATACTTGTTTGGAGAAAGGAAAATAAACCTCCCTAATGTGATCTGCCTTCTGGTTAGTAAATAATAGAACAAGCATCTGATTAATGCAATACAGTAATTTTTCTAGTATTTCAATACATATTTGGATGCCTTGAAAAACAAGGCAAGGGGCTTTCATTCCTCAGAGTTGGTAAGCCAAGGCTCTAAATTTTGATTATTTGAAAAGTTAGTGTTGGGAAGAGAAAAGATATAGTTTTTTTCTCCAGTAACTACAAAAGAATGATTGGCTCAGATACACACATCTAAAATTAAGGGAGATGCATCCACACTGTGAGAATAGTCAAAAATTAACTGAAACAATCCATGGATAATGAGGAGCCACAACTTACTTTAACCCCTATTTTTATTTTTTTATGGCCTTTGACCAGCAAAACCAGTTATCACAGCCCAAACAAGAGCAGGGATCGTGGCAAAAATGGTGCCAACAATCCATATGGGATCTGCAGACTATGGAATTGTGGGTTCAGTTTGTTCTGGAAACTACACTGGATTATAGTCAACAGCATTACAGACAATAACTGTTAGCTGGGAGCCCTGGGAAAGGAGTTTCTGAAGTTCACATTGAACCATTAGGTTTTGTTTACAGTCCCTAATTTACAGTATGAAACAAAGTGGAGGCTAAAGCACTCTAAAGATTCCCAGAAGTGAGATTGGGGAGCTGGGAAGGGGATGTGGCTTAGAGACAGAGAGGATACATTCACTCCCTGCATCCTCCCAGCTCTCAGTGGGCCAGCCATCAGCTCCAAATTTGAGGGCACGCTGCCTTAAAATTGGCCTCCCCAAGGAAGGGAAGAAACAAATGGATATTCCCTGATTTCACCAAACAAGAGCTCTTCCTGGGAGGCAGACTGAGGGCAGTTTGTGTAATCCTGTCTTGGTTACCTATGCCAGGGTAACTAGATGCAACCAACACAGGATCTAGAGGGGGAAAAGCTGGGGAACAATTGTTGGTGTTGCCCTGAGGAGTTGTTGGTGTTGCTCTGAGGGCAGCTGTGCAGGTACTCACGATTTTCTGGGAATAGCCCACCAGCTGGATCTTGCTGAGGGCTGCATTCACCTCGGGCATGGTGTAGCACTTCCTCCACATGGACACCTCCACCGCGTCCTTCAGCGGGGCTGGCAGCAACCTGTCAACACCAGTGAGAGGTTCTGTGGGGATCCAGAACAACAGCTGGTGCTGGACCAGCTTCTACAACCATTTACATTCTCCAGATCTTTAATTTTACCTCTAAATTTTTATTTTCAGTGTGCCTGGTGCTTCAAAGCCACACTTCCCAATCTGCCTCACCCTGGGGACTGCTCTCCTCCAGCTCTCTCTGTTGCTGTTCTGTCCAGCCCTTGCATCAAAAAAGTGGCCGTGATTGAGGTGTTACCACAACTCTTGAGGTATTTGCACCACTGATGAAAGGTGCTGGCTGATCTGAGATGTCAACATGAAATGCACCTCCAGCACTAGGATTTTGGATCAGTGTCTATTTTTCATATCATAATAATCTGAATAATACCCAATAATCTGGAACAATCTGGTGATTAAAGCACAGTTACCAGACCACGAGCAGGGATGGCTCTGCCCTGATTTCTGCCACTGGTCTCTTCCAAGAGCACATGTCCCTGCAGCTCAGCTTCCCTGCCTTCAATCCCACTTCCCTTCCGAGTGCCCTGGCAGGGACACACGAGCTGACACTGCAGAGCTCTTTGAAATCCCCTCCACGGAAGTATTTAAGATGTTTTACACCAAAGTAAGATCCATCCATTCTGCTCCTCACAGACACTGCAAGTCAGCTGGCCGGCGTTGTCAAGGGAAGAAGTGAACTATAATGTCACAGGCTGGAAGAGGGATGGCTAACTTCTGGGAAATAAATCTTCCTTAGCAACATGAACTGAGGCAGGAAGCAGCACAGCTGCCAAATGCGTAAGAAGAATAGGATTTTTTTTTTTTTTGTATATTAAACCAATGCTAAATCAAAGGCTAATTCAAACCAATTTCCAAAGATTTATGGAAATTGGTCAAGTTTCTTTGATCAATTTGTTTAAAGGAATTTAATTTATTGTTATATCTACTAGGTCAGTGAACTCCTCCATAATTTAAGATACTGAAGAAAGGATTAAGGACAGCTCTTGCCAAGACCACAGCACAGGTCCAGAACGATAACTGTAATTCCAGCACACGCTGGCTGAAAGCATCCCGTGCTTCAGGAAACAAACAAAGCCTTCAAGGTCTTTTTTGGGAAGTCGTAAGCAACAAAAGGCCACACAATGTGGAGAGTTGTCCACCACTGCACTGAAGCAAATTGCCTGTAAAAGCCTTTAACCTACCATAAGAAGCATTTAGTGTTGGATGCTTTCAGGAGCTTCTCTTCTGGGAAGAGGAAAATGTTTCTCCAGGTAATGGACAAAGTGGGGAATTGTCCTTGGTGAAGGAAGTTTCTCTTAGCCTTGACTGTGGCTACATTGAAAATATTCTGATCCCTGGCAGAGACCAGTGGCACCAGTCTCCAGTGGCTTCATGAAGCTGAGTGACAAGGAGGTGTTGGTCCCTCAGATGTATTCAGTCTGTCATCTCACTTCTAAAATCCCTACAGAGCTACCAGAGGATATTTTGTGGTCTGGAGTAAATCTACTGCCACCATGGCAACATCCTGCTAGAGATCACCTCACAACAATCAGATGTGTGAGGGCAGCTGCTGGGACAGCCATAAACGGGGAGGTAGCACGAATCCACATGGCTGAGAATACAAAATTTACCCTTAAAAAACTCAGGGATTTGTATTCTTCCCTGGGATCTGCACAGAGACAGTCCCTCCTGGTCAGTGCAAAGGCTTGCATTTAATGTATGATGTAAAATCCCAGAATTGTTTGAAGGGAGAGGAGGATGGCAGCAACAAACTACATCAGGCCACGGCCTCTCCTGTGCCCTGCCCAGCCTCAGGAAACAGCCTGTTTCAAACACTTTGAAAGATATGGGAAACCATCAAACAAGAAGTCAACAAAGTGCCTTTGACAAAGCAAACTTCCTCTTTAGCCCCTGAATCCCAATCAGTGAAAGATATCCTGGCTGACATCTCCAGAGCTTCCACAAGACTGCTCACTTGAAATAAAAGCCAGTGGCAATAAAACAGGCTAAGCAATTAGTTCAGACTAGATCTGATAATGGAAAAATGTAAACCACTATAATGAACTTATTATATTTTATACAGTATTTGCATTTAAAATGCTCCAGTGCTTTATCTAATGAAGATGATAATACTTTGTGTTTTATACTAACTGTTTGGAGGAGAATTAGCTGAACTGTAGAGCAGTAATGGGGATTGATCAGCCTGAAAAATTAAAGTTAGACTCAGAAGTAATAAGTATTCTGTTCTAGCAACAGCCAAGTAGGAAAAAAAAAAACCCAATTCATCAAGATCACATTTTCTTAAGTAACGGATGTCAGTCCAAGGCTGCATGTGCCATTAGCCAGGTGCTAATTTGGGGATCAGTAGATGTTTTGCTCTAATAATCAGTTCCATTCACGCCTGCGTGACACTTGTCAGCAGGCATCTCAAAACACTTTGCAAACATTAATTAAAGTCCCCGGGTGCCCTCTGTGCTGGATGGGAGCTCTGTTTTACAGATGCACAGGGAGGTGAAGGGGGAAACTCAGGGCACAGGTGGGGCAGAGGTGGAGAGGGAGTTCACATTTGTCCTCTTCCTCCAGCTCAAAAACAACGTTGGTTCATACCAGCAGAGTTTATTATACATTAATTTATGTTATTAAACTGACGTTTAGTAGCTCCCACCTTCCTGCTACCCCTTTACAACAGCTAACAGGATGGAACTATGAATTTTGGGGGACATCCCCAGCAATAGCAGAGAGGAACATGTATTTTAAATACCACTTTAAGGAAAAAAAGGCTCCAGTCTTCTATAGCAGCTGAATCAGAACAAAAATTCCCTCTCTGTGTTCTCCTCTGGAATAATCAGCAGCATGCAAAGTGCCAGGCAGCACTTTTCCTAAAATACGACCACCAGGAAAGTGACATTATATGAGCTGTAAGATATATGATTCTCCTTTAAACCAGGCATACAAAACATGCCTGGTGTAACAGGAATAATGGCTCCAGTCCTCTCTCTCCACACACTGGGAGTGTCAGCAATGGCTCTGGGGAGGCCAGTGGACCCCAAAATTAAAAATAAAAACCCCCACTATTCTAAAAATCCTGCTGAAGTTCAGTGTATTTGGTTTTGCTTTACATCCAACTTGACATCTGCTTGTCTTCAGAAGAGTGAGAGTTAGGGTGTAAAGACTGCTCCTAAATTCAGCAGGAGAACACAATATACAGCTAAAACTGTGCTTATTTGGATTTTTAATTTTTGCTTTGTGATACTGAGAAATATCAAGGCTACTCTTCTAATGTAAGAAATAATTCACTTTTAGGAAACTTCTAAATCAAGCCATTAAGAATCAGGAGTATAAAAAGGGAGATCAATTAAAAATGCACAAAGCAGCTTTTAAATATAACGTTTTAATCAACCAATCCTATCTTTAAAATGTGCTAAAAATGAAACTGTCTCCTCCAAGGAACACGTTGTGCACCTGAAATTGTTTTTATTCCCAAGGAAAGCATCATCTACAATTAGTAAACTGTATGGATAATTTTTAGATTCCATAGGCTTTCAAAACTCTGAGCATCTTGTTTTGATGTACAGCTGGAATAATGGATATGGTGCTTCCAAATAAGCTTTTTTATTCAGATTTTAATTTGTTTTTAAGTTTTGGAAAGCCAAAAAGCCCACCTCTGCTGTTCAGGTGTAAAGATGGGAAGAAAGGTAACACCAATGACCTCCAACAGCTGTGTCTTGACTTTCTTAGTATGTCAGCAAACATGAATGTAAATACCATTTAAATTTAAATTATTCCAATGTAGTATCATTAAATTTAAATAGCCTTCTCATTTCAACAACTTTTTATGATATTACTACCAAAATCTGATGGTTTTATCTACCATCATGGAGCTGAACTGTGTGAGGGGAGATCAGGGGAAGCTCTGCTGTTACCAAGTCTTTCTCCAAGAAACAAATTTGTGAGGTTGGAAAACCAACAATGTGCAGAAATGATTAAAGAAATAATCGACCCAAGGAGTCACAGCAGCAAATCTCAGATGGTGGGAGCTGAGCCATCCTCAAAAGCCCAAACTTCGGTGCTTTGGTACAATCACCTTTCCTGGGACTTGTTCCTTACCTTTGCACCTCCTTGTTCTTCCACATGGAGGCAGACTGAGCCTTTGGCACGCGTTCAATGGAATTCACCAGCTCTTCCATCAGGAGCCTGAAAACAGAAATCAAACCTAAATTAACATCGCCTTCTCTCACACAGGAGAGAACTTTGGCCCAAATCTTTCCAAAATACCATAGAAATTGTAACACTCGGAGGGGTTCTTCCCACAGAGGCCATTACCAGCACTGCCCCTGTTTATCCAAGGAGTGTTTCCAATTCCATCTGCTTGCAACAGAGGAGGATCTGGCCCACTGGGTTATGGGCTATTTGGAAAGTGCAAGATAATTTCTTCATTACTGACTGCTTGTGATAAGTAATGAGACAAAACACACAACAAAACCTCCTCAGCCTCTGCCTGTCTATCACTTACCAAGCATGCTGTCAGAGTGAACTCTCCTCATCTGCCAAAGCATATTTGAGACAGAAAAAGGTGTCAAGCGTTAGAAATTGTCACTGCAGATTTCCCTGCCCAAAACTTAACAGCATTTGTGATTGTGTGCAGGCTTTCCCTTGAAGTTTGGAGCACAAGGACAGCATCTGGAATGACTTGGGGTGGGGAGAACCACACCAGTGCACTCTCCCACAAGACTGCGCTTGTTATCTCCACCTCTGGACCAGCAAAGCCCAGAGGTCTACTACTCGTTCATATTTACACAATTCCTTTCACCTACAAGGGCCTTCAGTTTCTGTTTGTTTTCACACAATGGGGGAATTACTCTGGCATGGGAAGTTTGCACAGGACCTTCAGTGGACAAAGATTCCTGCCCTAAAGTGCTTACAGAGTAGTACAGATAGGAGGGCCTAATCTGGCTTCTAATTACTGAATGTAGCAGCTCTTCAGAGCTCAATTCCAGTTAGGCCTCACCAAACCTGCAGCATTTGGTGTTGACCCATCCAATCAACAAGACAATTTTGTAAAAATAAACTGGCAAATTTGATGACTGTTCTGGTTTTCACTGCACTGTTATATCTTTTTCTACCTAAGTCTCCTATTTCTGCCATTTTTCTTAGTGCTTCTCTCTGGAGTTCAGAGCTCACGTAGCTCAGCTGGCATTTGAGATGATGTCAGCTTGATTTCCTTTCTGTGGAGTGGAGGAAAGTGTGATTATATGGAATCATAAAATCCTAGAATGGTTTGAGTTGGAAGGGACCTTGAGGATCATTTGATTCCAACACCTGCCATGGGCAGGGACACCTGGTTGCTCTAAATCCTGTCCAACCTGGTCTTGAACACTTCCAGGGATGGGACAGCTACAGCTTCTGTGGGGAACAAGTCCAGTTTTCTGATTGGGAAGACACCTTTTGGTTAAGGGGAACAGAGAAGAGCAGGAGAGCTCTTTGATCCATGGTTTTTGAAGGTCTGAAGTTGCCTATATGGCAATTACTGACGTGTCTCAGCCCACTCGAATTCCACTGTCCCACATCTATGGCCTGGACTCAACACAAAGCACCTGCTGGAAATGTTGATGGCTCCAGAGGTTGGGACACATGGAGTTAACACATTTGCAGCACTAAGGACTTGGCTGGTGTTCAGCTCCTGCCTGAAAGCCTCCTCGGAACATTAGACACCGCTCCTCTCCCCACATTGTCCTTTACACCTTCTCCTCAGCAGCGATGAAAGAGGAGCAGAGAGTCTGAAGGGGCTTTTTACCTGCCAATTTGAACAGTGGGCTCGGTGGCATAAACTGTTCCAGTGAATCCTGTGTACTCTGTGATGTAGGGCAGTGCCATCATGCAGTGATAGTTGGAGATCAAGATTACATCCACTGTGGAGAGGTCAAGCAGTTCAGTCTGAAAACAGAGCAGAGATAAGCAACTTGTAACCCTTTCACGCAGTTTAATAAATGGCAGAAGAAAATCTTATTCTATTTTTTTTCTTATTTTTTTAAACTTTATTGCAGGAATGTGACTGGTTTATAAAAGCATGTCTCAGCTGTGGCAAAGGTTAATGTTGCCTTTGAAATAATAAGATTTATTTTAAAAGCCCCCTAAAATTATTCCATTCTCCAACCTGTTTTGTTTGGCTTTTTCCCCAACCTGGAAAGGAAACCATGTCCTGGGTTTTTCTGTCTTTCAGGTGATGAAATGGCTGCTGTTATGAGATCCATGATTATTTTACTTTTATCAAAGAATTGATGTATGCACCTCCTTAGGGAGGAAGAGACACCAAAATTTCTGCATCAATGATTTAGGGTGTCTCATTTTTTTTATGCAGCACATCATACTGTACCCCAAGAAAGAGATGAATGAAGATTGTATTTATTCATATGCTTAAAAATAATCCTCATATTTTCCCAAAGTAAATGCTTGGCATCTTTCTCATTCACATTTTCTACAGCAGGAGATGAAACCCATTCACAGGGTACAACAAAATGGATGGGTGGGCCCAATTAGTTTTGATGTGACAGTTTAGACAAGAGTTCTGAGAGTGAAAGAAGATTTCACACATTGTTAAAAGAATTTTAATTAGAAATATTTACTGGTAATGCCATAACACAAATGGTGTCAAGTCAGAAATTTACAAGATTACTGACCTCTAACTCAGTTATTATAGAGCAGCTAATGGAATTCAACACTCATCAAGCACATATTATCTGATTACAAGGCTTGGTCCAGCAATTTGAATAAAAAAGGCAAGAAAGTAGGTCACTCTGCTTTGCAGAGGGCTGACACAGTGCTCTGGTGACAAGCTGCTTAACTCCTCCTAAGCACTCATGGTTTCAATCATGATCAGCAACGATCTCTGAGCTGAGAACAGGAGGTGAAACACCATCCTCAGCTCCATGACAGGGCACCTTTTATCTTCCTGGGCTTCCAGGCAGGAACACTCTCCCTGCAAGGTATCAAGCAGGCTGATGCCTGCTCCTGCCAAAGCTTGGATTGTCCACACCTTGGTTTTCAGCTGTGTTCATACTGTAGAGGATCAGATTCTGGAGTGGTTTGGATGGGAACACTCTTAAAGACCAGCCTGTTCCACCCAGGGACATCCTCCACTATCCCAGGGTGCTCCATCCAGCCTGGCCTTGGAGACTTCCAGGGATCCAGGGGCAGCCACAGCTTCTCTGGGAAACCTCTGCCAGGGCCTCCCCACCCTCCCAGCCAAGGATTCCTTCCCAATATCTCATCTATCCGTGCCCTCTGGCAGTGGGAAGCCATTCCCTGTGTCCTGTCCCTCCATCCCTTGTCCCAAGTCCCTCTCCAGCTCTCCTGGAACCCCTTTAGGCTCTGGAAGGGGCTCTGAGGTCTCTCTGGATGCTTCTCCTCTCCAGTTGAAAACCCCCAGCTCTCCCAGCCTGGCTCCAGAGTGGAGGGGCTCCAGCCCTGAGCTGAATCCCAGCCCAGGAGAGCCATCAGGACGATACACACCAGCACTTTCCAACCTTAAGCATGCCACATCTCAGCACCCTAGAAGCATTTACTGATAGGATGAAAAAGGTGTCAAAACCAAAACAAAGTGAAATCTTCCCTGGGGCTTGCAATCTCACTAAAGTGCCTTTGAGCTGAAGAAGCTTAAAAATGTTTTTTGCATGTGAAGTGAGAGAGCAGAAAGTTGCCAAGCAAAGAGCGGGCAGCACCCTGCACTCTGACATGTGTGAGAGTACTCTGCTGCTGAGACAGCCTCATCTCACCTTGTGGCTGCTGGATTAGATCCAAATCTTGGCTTGCTCTGGCAATGGTGTTCTGGAAGCGATACAGAGATTCTCTGGCTAACTGCTTTTGCAGACAAGTTTCTTCAAAAGAAGTGGCATGGAAGGAGATAAAGTAAAAGCCTCTTTCACACAAGCTCCCTCTTATCCTGTGTTGCCAAACAGCAGCAACATTTGCACTCTGTTTGCAGCTGGCCATGACTCCTGAACCTCCTGCAGGTAGGTGAGCTCAAGGTGGGAGCTGGCTATCACAGAAGATCTGTTCCCAGTATTCATGGAGGAGATGTGACATCTGTTGGGAATTTTGGGAAACATCTGAGAGGCTGTTTTTAAAGTCCCTGCAATGGTGACGTGCAGTTGGTTGCCATGTTCTGGTTATAGGATGGGCTGCTGGGAAGCAGCTTTGTGTGTGGTAACAGCACTAAGATGAAGCAGTGACTCCCTGTTTATCATATTCAGAGCTACACATGTGGGTATTTTCCAGCCCAAAGTAACCATAAAGTCTGGCTGAAGCACCCTAAACCCCAGCAGGCAATCATTCCAAAGAGAATCCAGCACATAAACCCTGTCCTTACCAAGATCTGGGCCATAATGGCACTTTCTACACACACAGATGCTTCCCACATCCCTCAGTTTCACAGGACAGAAGGCTCACAAGAACCCAGATTTATTAGGGTTTTGGGCTGGTCTTTTTTGGTGTGATTGGATTATGACAATTCCAGCTGAGTTGGAATGGTTGTAATCTGTTGGAACCACTTGCCAAAACAAGTACCAGAGCTGCCAGCTTGTTGGTCAGAATCAAGATGACAAGAGTGATGCCAGAGGTGAGTTCCATGGGATCCACACACGGGAACAATATTGCCAGAACCTCAGCAGGCTGACAGCAACCTTCCAGGAGTGTCTGGACACAAAAGCAATTGTGTCTGTCTTTGAAAGACAGAGAAAACATCCCAGCATGAAATGAAAGAACAGGCGTTATCACACTCTGAAGACTCTGAGGAAAGGGATGCTATTCCCATGCTACTCTCCATCATTCATCCCCACCTCTCTCTGCTCAGCCTTTCATATCTTTATTTCTCCTACAGCACTCCCTGTATCCACTGGGTGATTCCAGGTAATCCAAATATCTTCTATGGTCTTGCTTCCTTTTTCTAAATCCAGAAATCCCAGTAAAAACCAGCTTGAGCAGCCACTTGCAGCCATGCCTGTGGATATGAAGGCTCAGTTCTTCCCTCAAGAAGAGGCCGTAAAAGTTTTTAACCTGAAAGTGCTGCTGGCAGAAGTGCAGCCAGCAGAATCCAACGTGGCTTAACCACAGCTGGCTCCCCAGGGAGCTCCACTGCCATGTCCTCCATCTGTGGTTAGAGACAAGCAGCATTCCTCACCTTCATGCTCTGCCCTCATCTAGATCAGCACATGGATCCTGTCAGTCAGCCCAGCTCAGCCTGGCTGTCTTTGAAAAGCCACAAAAAGGGACAGTTCAGTCTTATTCTTGTGTCAGATATTTGCTCGAGGAGACCTTCCATGTCTCCCAACACCATGGTTGTAAAGGGGTGTGTCCATCTTTTTTTCCAGAGTCACAGAGCCTGAAAGCACCTTAACAACACAGAGTTTTGAAGTATTATTTACTGAGTATTATTAAATTAGCAGGAACCTGGTAATAATAATAATAATAATAATTTAACAGGTTTCTCCCATGTGATTGCATGGAGTCAGATTTTCCAGTAAGGCTTTGAACAAACTCACCTCTGGCAAGCAGAACTCAGGCACAGAGTCTACAAACACATGGCCAGAGCACTCCTTCAGCTCCTGTAAAAAATCACACCAAGAGAGGAGACACAAAAATACAACACAGTGTTATCCACGGCAGCACATTTTGGATTTTCCAGACACTTTCTTTATCACAGGTAATTTCCAGCCCGTTACTACAGGACATTTATCCCCCTTCTAAACACAATTTGGCGCAGGCAGATCTGCTGAAACTGCTTTCATGGCAGATGAGGCTGCTTGGTAGCTGAAGGGATCAAATCCTCCTTGGGAAGGACAGAGAGCACTCTGGTAGGTAAAGAAAGAGCCCTGGTAATGACCAGGAAGGCAAGTCTGGAATTGGCTCCAAATAACATCCAACCTCTTCTGTCTTACTAGAACCAAAATACAATTTATAGCCTCTGTCTCAGAGTATTTGATGAAACAACTTTTGGGAATCTTTTCTCAACATGGCACATTTTGTTAAACTCTATCCCCTATATTCTTTCTCTTTTTCAAGGCTGACACCAAGAACTTCTGTCACATGAGAAGTCATGTTCTTCAGGGTGGAACAAAAACATTCCCAACTCTACTCCTAGCACAACTCACAGGCTCCCTACCACCCACCCTGCCTTCTCTCCTGTCCCAAAACAAGTGGTCTCAGCCAGCTTCAGACTGACAGTATTAAAGATTGAATCCAATTCTTAATAATTACAGTGCACCTGCCAACTAATAACGAATGAGCAATTACATCTAGTGGCAGAAGTCTCCTAACCTCATCTCAAGGGAGTTCAAAATGATTAAAAGTAGATCACAGCACATTTCAATGCCTCTCCAGGACTGAAGTTTTAAAACTGAGTGCTGTAACAGGAATGTCCACCTCACATGATAAAACACCCCCCTTTGACTCCTTCCCTTGGCTTTTTCCAGCATGGGTCAAAGAATTTACCATTCCAAGCACTTAGAGTGGTCAAGGTGAAGTTAAGAGAGCTGCCTTTGAATTTTTAACACGATTTCCATTGCCACTGTGTGAGTTTGGAGGTTTCTCCTGAGCACACACTGCAGCAGCAGCATCCCAGAAATCTAAATATATTCCAAATGAAATTACAGTGACAGTCTGTCCATTCTTGGGAGCCCAGAGCTCTGACACCAAAGCTGGGCTTCAGGAGACACAAATTCCAGGGAATTCAAACTGAGCAACTCCATTTCTGCCCCTGAGCCTCTGCAGCCCTGCAATTGCCAGTTAGCAAGTGCTCTGAATAGAGCTGTTACTATTTTACCAACAGAAATGCTGCCTGCACAGTTTCTTTTGTCTCCAATGAGAAGAAAAATCGGGTCTTTAATCTATGATCTTCAGCTGCCTTGTCTGTAAAAATCAGATCAATCCATTTTGTCCACCTCAAAGTCCCCTACAAAAGCAACTATTATCACTGTTTGCTTTAATGTTCCCATAGTCAGAGAACAGTCTATTAAGCATTTTCTCCACTGGTACCTATTGCTGCCCACATTTGAAATGTATCTGCCTATTTTACTAACATCTGACATATTTTTGTGTTCATTGTTCCCTTATGGCAGATCAAGCTGGTCGCTGCAGTGCCAAGTTTTGGTTGAAGCCTCAGATAAATTCTGCCTCCAAAACTGATGCAATGAAAAGAGGGGGAAAAAAGGAGCAATTCTGTGTCTCTCATGTCACTGAGGAAGTTCTGTCTTAGAATCAGGAGGCTGGAGATAATATCCTCCCTGCTATGTCCAGCAGCAGAACACATGTTGATTTCAGAGGCCAAAGCCATGCTTTTCCTCTCTGAGAGACCTCCCACAGGCAAACCATTGCCTTCCTCATAGTTCTGCCTGAAAAAGGGTATGAAACCAACCTCATTTATAGGCATGCTCTGAAGCCTCAGTGTCAGAAAAGTGAGACTGTGGAATAAAAGGCACTCTAAGAAGACGAAGCACTATTATTTATGGAGCTTCATGAAATACAAAAATATTCACACTGACGACTTCTGCATTTTAAGCAGATTTTTTTATAATCTAGGCTACCTCTGAAGCCTCAGAGCTGCTATTAGCATTTTGTTTCAAAACGTTCTGCTCTGCAAGGACATCCTGGCTGGTAGAGGTACACAGAGAAACCTTTGGGATGAGTCAGCCTGGAATGCTGCTCCTGCAACACCAGCTCTCAACCTGTCAGGTGGCTTTTTGCATGGCAAGAAAATTCCAAGCATCACTCCAGTACCTTGTCCAGAAACATGCTTCCATCTTTCAAAACCCAACCGGGAAGTTTGGACAGCCTGGGGCTGTGGAAAGAAAGAAGAAAAATTATTTCAATATGAACTGAATTATTATCAGTGGCTAAGCACAGACCTTCTACTTGGTGTCATACAGGCAGAGAACACCATTCCTGTCTCAGGGAAGTAACAGTCCCAATAAAACAGACAGACAGTTTCACTGTGGTTAAGTGTTCACCAAAATGACTTTACAAATCATGATTATGACACTTATAAGTAAAAATAAATCAGAGGACAAGGCACAAAGGGAATTTTTAGTCATTTATGGTGAGGATTTTAAAAAGGCTCAGTGCTGCTGAGTTCCCTGTGGTGAAAGTGGATGAATAAACAGAAGTTAGGGCAGCAACAAACTCTGTGCTCAAAAAACACAAAAGCACCATAAAACTGTTCTGGGACAGAGGACAACAGACAAATATTCCCATCAGCAGTGGCAGGGAAAGACTGATGCTCTGGACTAAGTCATTTATAGACACAGGCTGGGATTTTATACCCACATAAGCCATGGTTTCGTGCCTGGGTGTTACCCTGAAGACCCACACCAAGAGCTGTACAGGACACAGGGGCAAGGAGGCTTTGCTGTGAACTGCAGGTTCTAAGCAACAGCAGAGCCCCTTTTTTCACAGCTTCAAATGCTAATAAAGGAATTTAAAGGTAGACGTTGTAATTCTGAGTTTACAGCACTAATGGCTGCAGCATTTCTTGCTACTGTAACTGAGAGACTTATTTATATTTCACAGTGACATCTGATTTTTGTATGAGCCTACAACTTAGCTCTAAACACACTCTCTGCCCAGACTGAAGTTTATTTACCCAAATAAAAACAACTATTGAGTAAACAAGAGAATTTAACCCACCTGAAACCAAACCCTGCAACAACTTCAGATTTGGACACAGAACCTGGCTGCGAAGCACTTTGCAAGTGCTGTGCACTAAGCTCTACAGACAGGCATGTTTATATCCTAAAAGCACTTTCATATCTTGAAAATAGGAAATGATTCAAGGGCTCAGAGGAATGCTTTGTTCAGACTAACAGCAGTATAAAAGAACAAATTCTGACACCCCAGTAAGTCACCAGGAAGGAAAAAGGGGAAATCCATGAGTCAAGGAGTGAAGACAGAAGGTAAGAGGTGAGAGCAGAAGGATCTGTCATGGAGGAGCTGTGCCAGAAGAAGGGCAATTCCCTTCTGAGGATAAAGAGCAAGGCTGAACAAGTCTGATGACAGAAAAGATGAAGTGACTAAATGTGCTGCCCAGTGGATTGTTCAAAAGCACAGTTTAGGAGCAATAATTTGGAGACTGAGCGGGCTGAGTAGAATTGGTGCAGTGAGTCTAAAAGAGTTATGGAAAAAGCAAGAACAAACCACTCTGATATGCAACAACTCTGACAGATACAGGAGGATAGGACAGGAATCTTAGCTGGAAAGGCCACCTGGAGGGCTACAGCCAATATCTCAACACCAGCACAAGGTCAGGTCAGTGCCTTGTGCCTTGAAAATCCCTGGGTCCATCTGCGGTTTCAGCAGCCATGAGGCAGAGCAGAATAAACTTTACTTGTCCTTCTCCCCATAATTTAACCTAGCAGAAGTTTTGCCTTATTCATGATAAAGGAGCACTAAACTTGTACTAAACTGGCAACCACTGAGGAGTGAAGAGTCAGGGGAGGCAAAATGAGCAGGTGTGTCTTGTGTGTGGCTGAAAGCAGAACAAGCAACACAGGACAGAAAGGACTCTTTACCTTGAAGCCAAGAAGCACCACAGCTCCTCCTGACATCGTTTTGACATTGTAATAGAGTGATTGATTAATCCAAAATAGCTGGAACTGTCCCATAAATAATGTGAGCAAGGGTGTCATGGCTAGACAGGAAAGGTTAAGAGCTTCCCACATGTTCATTTTACAGTTTTGCATTTGACTTTGGTACAGGGGAGAAAACTCCAGTTGACAAACCTCCTTTAAAGTACAGGAGCATAAAGAGCTGGGCAGCTGCAGGTGCTCTGCACATGCTCCATGGGCTGGTGAGAACAGGGAATGCCATTTCCAGGGCAAGGGGGAATCTAAATACCTTTGCACTGGCATTTCTTTGAAGAGCAAAGAACTCTAAAAAATGCCCAGTCCCTTTGCAGTACTTTCCTCTCTTATAGATTAGAGCACAGGCTCTCAAAATATTTGCTCAAGGAGGGTACCATGCCAGGCATGACACAGGATTTAGCTGTGTAGCAAAGATCCTCTGTAATATCACACATTTGGGCAGCTTTGCAGACCACATACTGAGATTTGCAGAATCCAAAGGGTTCAGGGATCCTGCTGGAATCTCTGGCTAAAGACAGCAGAGAGAAGCATGGCTGCTCTCAGGTTAAGGTTTCACTGACATCCATCTCCAATAAACACATCTGGTTCTGAGAGGATACAGCTGGAGAGAACACCAGATCTGACAGACCTGTGTTCAAATCCCTCAGGCAATCAGTCCTTCCTGGCACCTTACCTGGCATCTGATGACAATGTCAGCTCTCTGTCACCCCATGTTATGTTGATAACACACATTTGAATTTCAGAGGTGTTTGGACATGATGGTAATGGACTCCTAATCTCAAATGGTACAACTATGAGTACTGCAGAGATAAGGACTTTGCAGTGGCAGCCACATTCCTCCTCACATTTCTGTCTTATTTCCACAACTCTCTGCAGGACACCTGGTTTGCAGAGGAGATCAATTACTTGCCCAAGTCCATGTGCTCAGGCCAATCCTTGCTCTAAGGGGTGTTCAGTCACCTCACCGACAAGATTGATTGGATTTAAATCCAAATGTTTGCTCCCATTCCACTGGGCCATCAGGGGTCAAATCTGACATCCTCTCTTATTGAGTTTGAGTCACTTTAGTGCCGACATTCTGGAGGTGCTTGGGGAATTCCAGGTTGTGACCTGCAATTTGGCTGTTCATTCCCAGGGTCTGCTATCAGCAGACAAAGCTGGCACATCCCAGGGGAAAGCTGATTCCTGCTGCTCTAAAGAACCTCTTAAGCCTTTGTTCAATCACCTCATTTTGCTACTTCTTCCTCTCTAAATTTCCTTTTTTTTTGGTGGGGGTGGGAGAAAGCAAATGCAACACAATTCTGTCTGTACCTGGATTTCCAAAATTTGCTGGATCTGTTCAAAATCTATTACTGCACCAGTTGGTGCAGTCAGCAGTTGCACTGTGGAATGGGACAAAAATTGACTTTCACACTGATCCCTCTGAGGGCATCTGTTGCCTCTCTACAGCAGATCCTGAACTCCACGTTCTTGAAGAACAATGCCCACATTGTCCATTCCTTTCCTCTACTTTCCAAAAAAATAACAAATCATAGGAAGTGCTGGACAAACTCCTTTAACCTCACTAGGTCACTTAGGAAACTCCCTTTTCCAATTGTATTTTCCCCCTCTCAATCAAGCCTTCCCTGAGCCCAGAACTCCTCACTTATTTCCTTGTGGATGGAAGTTACTAAACGGCTTTTGAGAAAACTCCTACTCCTCCCCATCATTGAGACTGATTCATTCCCACCTTTTCAACTGCTAATTTTTGTCATTTATTCCATTTACACAAAACATGTCACCCTAACTTACTACCCAAATTAGTCTAAAAACCTGGGGAAATACAACTTTGTAGCGGGGCATAGAAAGGAAATCTCAGGACTCTGTTCTAGACTCTATTTTTGTTTCTCTGCTGTTCCAATCCCATGCTCAGCTGCACCGCCTTTTTATTTATTTAACTTTTAAAAGGGAACAATTATGCCATGCAGGCAACTAACAAGGGCTGCTAAGTGCTATTTTTCTTTGCATTAGTCTGTGCTCTGAAGAACAGCCTGAGAAGATGGTGGTTAAACAGGACTTGCTGGGCTCCACGCACTCCATCTCAGTTACCCATTTATCTCATCTTGCATGAAGAAGCCAGAAAGATGACAGATATGTGACCTCACTTGTGCTGAGCAGTTGCAGCAATACTTTACTGAAGCTTAGAATAAATTATCTAGAAAAACCAATCAATAAATCCATAAAATGTCTTCCGTCTACTGAGCCAAAGGACGTTATTTTGATAAAGGGAATTTTTAAGTGAACAAAGTCTATTTATGATATCAGATGATGCTGTTCATTTGTACCCATCCCCTCCCTCCTTCCAATACACCATTTCAGGCACAGCACTCCAACTGCAACCCAAGAAGATGCAGACTAAGTGCTGACAGGCCACAGAACTCACCTCTGGACCAGAGGCAGGGGGAGGAAATTGAGGGTAGACGTCATATCCAGCCCACAGTCCAGCATGATGGTGGTGGATTTGAACTTGAGCACGTTGCATGGCAAGGTTGGATGCCCTGACAGGCAGTACTGGAAGAAGAATGAGGAGGAGTTACTCAGGACCTTTCAGAACATGACCCTTCCCTGCGTGCTGGGCACTGGTGAAGCCACACCTCAAATCCTGTGTCCAGCTCTGGGCCCCTCACTGCAAGGACACTGAGAGGCTGGAGTGTGTCCAGGGCAGGGAATGGGGCTGGGGAAGGGGCTGGAGCACCAGGAGGGGCTGAGGGAGCTGGAAAGGGGCTCAGCCTGGAGAAATGGAGGCTCAGGAGGGACCTTGTGGCTCTGCACAACTCCCTGACAGGAGGGGGCAGCTGGGAGGTTCAGGCTGTGCTCCCAGGGAACAGGGACAGGAGGAGAGGAAACGGCCTCATATTGTGCCAGGGGAGGGTCAGGTTGGACACCAGGAAGAATTTCTTCATGGAAAAGGTGGACAGGCAGTAGGAGGGGCTGCCCAGGGAGATCTGGAGTCCCCATCCCTGGAGGTATCCAAAGAATGACTGGATGTGGCACTCAGTGACAAGCTGGGGTCAGTCATAGGCTGGACTTGATCCTGAAGGGCTTTTCCAACCTCAGTGATTCTGTGAACAGACTTCACTAACTGCCTTTCCCTCCTTGTTTTTAAACTCTTTAGTTTAAGTTCCTTACACACCAAAATAAAACATGATTTCTCATGAATCTGCGTCCCACAACCGTGTGTATTCACTGAGATTTCTCCATCTCAGGGTATTAAGGGGCAGATTTTCCTCAGACAGTTTTTCTGATCCCAAGGGTTGAGTGGATGGAAAAGCTCTTCTCTCTGATTTAGGACACATGCAGAATATCTTTTTTTTCTTGCAATCACCTATTTTCCCCGAAACCCTAGGAAATCAGCTTCTTCCAAACTCAGTCCTCCTGGCAAAACTTGGCTAGAAAATTTGAAAATGACTCGAGGTGGACAGGGAGGGAGGCAGAGAAGCCCTGCAGGAACACAAGATTTTATTTTGGTAAGAAACCTTCCCCAACAACCCCTGCACAGGTGCAGCAGCTCTGGGGCAAGTTCTCACCTGCTTTTTTGTCTTGCTAAACACAAACAGGAAGCAGGAGGGACTGGGCAACCCCACCTGAATGGAAGGGTTTGTGTATCCAAATCCCAAAGGCTTTGCAAGCTTAATGAGCCGGTGAGCAGGTGATGTAGGGGGCACTTGAGCATCATTGAGATGCAGCCACCTCCTGTCTGGAGTGACAAACATTTAACCAGGCGCGGGAGCTTTCAGCGAGAGCAGAACAGAAAGGTCGCCTTTAAAATGTGGGATTAGAGACAAAGGTCTGAGCAGAGCGTGGCCACCTCTGCGGGAGGGTTCCTCTGCTCCGAGGAGGGATTTCTGCATCTCCACTCTCCCAGGTCTGGGCATCTGGCAGCACAGCCACGCTCAGGTGGTCAAATTGGAGCTTTTAAATTCAAGTTTTTGTCAATGCAGATGAAAAATACCACTTGTTTGGCCGTGCACTGCACTAAAAACAGACTTGGTCTTTTTCTAAGTCATTTATCCCTTAAGCTTGTGTTCTATACTTCCCTCTACCAAGTGGAAAAAAGGGAGATGAATAATTTCATTTTCTACCTCTGCTCACAACAATGTTAACACAGGACTGCAACTGTCTGGATTAACAGCCCTCAAGAAGTCTATTTACATACATTCCTCAAAAACCTGCTTTAAACTCTATTTAAATAGTAAAACCGACTAAGCCCCAAATATTAAATTTAAAATATCACAGAGAGTTTTGTTTTAAATTCACAAAGCCTTAATTATTAAGGAGTTACATCACATTTTGTCTTTCTTTTAGTAAAGTTTAAAAAAATACATAAAGCCAAGCTGGTGAAGGAGTGAGGAATTCACTTGGTTTATTCACAAATGTAACATTCTCATGTGAAATTAAGTTCTTACCAGACCAGAACTTTGACAAATGAAGTTATAAATTGAAGTAAATAGAAAGAAATGAAGGGAAAAATAAGTTCTATTTTTGTAGCTTTTATACCATTGGTAATTAAAAAAGGCAATGAAATATCACCACTTTTATCAGCAAAATATTTTCTTGCCTTTTTTTTGTAATCATGATTACAAAAATCATGATCAGTATCACAATTCCTATAGGTCCTGACATCTAGGACCTAACTGGCAAATCTTCCTTTTTTCCTTCTTTAAAAGCAGCTAAAATCATCTCTCTCTGTGGCTGTCACACTGAGGTAAATGGATTCCTGGGAGTCAATGGATTCTTTCTACCAGATTCAAACAAAGTGTCAGAAAAATAAAAAAAGGCAATTTGTATTTTCTATACAGCTGTTTGCACTGGTGACATTGCTGGGCCTGCACCTCTGTTAGAATTTTGGATTAGGAATCCAGGAATAGAAGTGTTTGCACTATGTGTGTCTCTATACACATTATAAATGTGATCATTTCCACACAGTTTATACTTTTTACTGTTTAAAACAGGTCCAGAGCTTTCACTCATGTTCCTGACTGGACTAAAATCCAAGTTTTTTGTTCCAAGATTTGCTTGCTTCCCTTATGGCTAAAGGCTGGTGTAGCCAACACGCAAAGGTGCCTCATCTCCAAACTCCAAAAGCCACGTAAAAAAATGACACAAAACACACAAAAGCATAAATATGCCCAGCCCAGCTCACCACTTTCCTGGCAGGATTTGCAAATTGGATGAAAGTTTGGCAGTGGGGCACAAAGGGCCCAAGTTGAGGGGCTGATTCCAGATGCTCAGGGCCTGGGAGAAGCAGATTCTCCACACACATCCCATTCCATGAGCATCTCATGGAGGGCACAAGGACAGAGGAGAGAGATGGTGGCTCAGACTTGCAGCTCCAAAACATTCAGAGCTGTACAGGTTAAAGGCAGAGCTTGGAATTCCAAGTGAAGTCAACAAATCCTGCAGTGCATTCCTCCAGTATTAGTATCACATGCTCAGCTTAAAATCTGGGGGGAAAAATGAGCACTGAGGCTTGTCTGAGTGAAAGCATGCTTGAGTTTGTGGGAGTCTGAGGTTTTCACTGGATTCTGAATCAGACCTGGAGTCAGAATCCCAGAATGGTTTGGGTTGGAAGAGACCTTGAAGCTCATTTTATCCCAACCCCTCTGCCATGGACAGGGAACATTCCACTAGTCCTTCACCTCTACCATGTTCTTCCAAATTCAACCCAAATCTATGAGAAAAGAGGATAAAAAGCATCTGACTCCTCTCCTCACAACCCCAAATTCAGACACATCTCCAGAGAAATATAAGGTGAGGAATCTCATCTTATATTTCTCAGCACCTGAATTTAAAAACAGGTCTAAAAAGGCTCCAATAGAGTCCCCAGACAGTTTGTATTTCCCTTCTCTACCCCTTTCCTCTCTCTGTCCCTATGCAAGACTCTAAACATTAAAAGAACTCTGCATTTCCACTGGGGTCTTTAAGTAAAGATTTTCCAGTTTGATTTTCCCCACTGAATTCTGGCAGCCTCTACAATCACACCCAGAGCTGCTTGACTCTGCAGTGTTTGTCCCACTGGTAATATTCATCCCTGCACAGATCCTTATCACACAGGTAAGATTAAACAGGATCAAGCTCCTTGACCACCTGCCTCTGGAATTAATTGTACACACTTCCATGGAGAGTGGTTTCCCAGAAGTCTTAAAACAGAACATTTACTTCTATGAAGCTTTGTTATAACACACTGCTCAGTCTCAAAACCAAGAGACAGTTTTAAACTGAATAATGGTGTCACTTCAGATTAAATAAATCAAATATTATGCTCAGGTATGTTGAAAACTTCTTGGGTTTTCACCTCCAGGCCAAGAACTGCAGCACAGTATGTGAAACTGAAATTCTTCCTGGAAAACAAAGTGGCTCCTGAATCTTAGGTCTTTAGGAAAGTGAAACAGTTCGAGAGGAGACCAAAATCATGGGTCATGTACTTTCTGACAGAACACTGTAATATCAGAACCAAAACCCTTGTCAGCAGCAAGGTGCACCCTTGGCAAAGCTGTTCCAGGCTGATTTTTTTTTTTTTTTTTTTTTTTTTTGGTTAGCATCTCCCTGTATTATCACACTGCAGATAGAAAACATCTTTATCAAAAACCACGGGCATTTATTCACATTCCTCGCACAGTCCAGCAGAAGCCACACGTGCAGGGGCACAGCTCCACGCCAGACTCATGTTTAGGGTTAGGAAGGCTGAGAAACATTTTCTCCTCCTCCTCCTCCAGAATCCTACTAAAATTTGATGCCATCCAACACCTCAAACCCGGGTAACCGCCCCCCCCTCACCCTCCCCACTCAGGGCCGACCCCCGCCTTCCCCCACACCTCAGGGCCGACCCCCGTCCCTCCCT